TGGGTTCAGAGGACAGAGCCCTTGGACAGGGTTCAAAGAGGCCCTGTGGTGGCTCAGAACTGGGGAGATCCTCCCTTATCTTTGCCCAGCCAGAGCTGTGGCATCTGGTCTTCGAGACCAGTGTCATGGAAAGAAGACATCCTGTGAAGAACGTCGCTTCCGGATCAAGAATGAGGTCCCGGGGGCCCTTCCACTTTCTTTGGGGCTGTGTTATTGGTGGTGGTCCCCAGCGGTGCGGGGTAGGGGAAGTAGCTGTGTGTCCTGGCTGAAGAGCACAGCTGAGGGGGTATCGTGGGGACTAGAGAGAGGCTGTTTACATTTTCATACCCCTAGCAGGGCTCAGCCTACTACCCTGGGGGCTCCTACTTGACAGACCCCCAAGAGGGGGCTCCAGAACCCAAAGATCCCATTTCAGGCCTGTTGGCCTAACTGTGAACGTGGGCGTTCACCTCACTGAACATTGACTTCTCCTTGGGTCTTCTGTGAAGGGCCCCAGGATAGCTACAGGTGATTATAAGAATCCGGTGAACCTGAGATCCTGTCTAGGGAGGGGGTCCAGCAGAAGGGCTGCTGCTTCTCCTTCTCCTCCTCCTCCTCCTCCCTCTTCCTCCTTCTCCTTCTGTTCCTCCTCTGAACCTGAGATCCTGTCTAGGAAGGGGGTCCAGCAGAGGGCTCCTTCTTCTCCTCCTCCTCCTTCCTCTCCTCCTCCTCCTCCTCGTCCTCTTCCTGCTCCTGCTCCTCCTCTCTTCTCCTCCTTCTCCTTCTTCTTCTTCTTCCTCCTCCTCCTCCTCCACCTCCTCCTCCTCCTCCTCCTTCTTCCTTCCTTCTTCCTTCTTCCTTTTTCTTCCATCTTCTCCTCCTCTATTTATGGTCCAGTTTCAGTTTCAGTCATAGACTATTCCAATACGCATCCCTACTGTTTCCATCCTGCCCCCAGAACCCTTCCCCAGCCTGTTTCTATGGCAGGCACTCCCCTTCTCTCTCTCTCTCTCACTCTCTCTCTCTCTCTCTCTCTCTCTCTCTCTCTCTCTCTCTCTCTCCTCTCCCTCTCCCTCTCCCTCTCCCTCTCCCTCTCCCTTTCTCTTCTTTATCATATTTGTTCCCTTACCTGTTTTTAGCACACAGTTGCACACACTACACAGTTCTTATCCAGAGTCATCATTTCCAACTATTGTTGAGAAGGGCTTCTTTTTCATTTTGCTTCTGGGCCTCACCTGATGAGGCTTCTGGCTCTGGTGGGCTGAAAGGACCATGTGGGATGCTGGACACGGAAGCCTGTTGGCTGTGTGCAAGGCAAGCTCCTTCCCGCTGCAGTATCTCAGCTGCCACAAGGGCTCCTTCTGCTGCCTGTGCCCCGCTGTGGAGTTCGAGGCTTCCCTTTCTTGCTTCACAAAGACTTCGGCATCGAGGGCCATACTTAACGTCATTAAGCCATTTCAGCCCGTTTGGTGTCCTGTTCTGCCAGGGTTCCCGAGAGTTCTTCTTCCTCCCTTTCATATTATACATTGTTTTAAGGAGCTGGACCCTACCTGCTCTTTGCTGAATGTAGTTAAACCTACACCTCTAAGCCATCCTTACCATAGCCTTCGAGGTATTGGGGGTGCTGGACACTGGGCTGGCGCCCTTTGGAGGGAGGCAGGGGGTAGTCTCCAGTGCGTTTCCTGGAGGCCAGCTGGCTTCCTTCTTGGGGGGTAGGAGGTGAGCCTGCAGTCGGGGTGCAGCTCGCTGTCTTGCTCTACGGCTGCTGAGAGCTTTCCTGGGGTGAGGGGGGGAGGATGGAGTTTCTCCTGGCTGTACTCAGGGCTGGAGATCAGGGATCCCTGGTGGCAGAGCTCATGGCACTATTTGCGGTGCCACCATCTCCCCTTATGCAGGGGCCTTCCCGTTTGTCTCTCTCTGGCCCTTTCCCAGGCTCTTTAGGGTTATTTTCTAGGTCGCTGGCCTGTTACCGGGAAGGAGATTGGAATCAGCAGTTTCCTTTAGCCTCCTACCCCTACCCTTACCCCCATGCATAGTATTTGCACCCTGAGCTCCCAGACCTCAGCTTCCTCATTTGTAAAGGGAATGTCATGGTCCCTTCTAGTCACTTGATACAGGTTAAAGGGGACACTTCCAAGTGGGAGCTTCTGTTTGTTTTTTATCTATCTATCTATCTATCTATCTGTCTGTCTGTCTGTCTGTCTATCTATCTATCATCTATCTGTGTATCAATGTATCTATGTATATATGTATATATTATACTTATATAAGAACTTATTATCTAGTTCTTACTCTGGAGAACCTGGCAGGCTATCGAAAGTATCCTGTCCGCACGGCAGAGTCTGGCAAACTCCCCATGGCATATTCAATATGCCAAAAACCAATAACAATGATGGGTCTCATTCTCCTGACCCTGAAAGAGCCTCGAATGTGGCACTTTCTAAAATCTCAGGGCTAGGATGAAGGAGACATTACTGGTGCCTGCTTGAGGAAATCAATGAACAACAGGATGATAGTGATACAGTGATATATATACATACACACATATATATATAATTTTTATTGGTGAAACACCATGAGGTACAGTTGTAGACTTATTATACAATGATCGAGTACTCATCCCTCCACCAGTGCCCATTTTCTACCACCACTGATCCCAGTATCCCTCCTGTTTGTTTTTTAACTGGAAAGGACCAGGCTCTGTCCGTGTCCCCAGGAGAGTGGGGGGTGGGGGAGGGGAGGAGAGAGTAACATGCCTCAGGGGGAGAAAGGAACAGAGGCGGCTGTAAGCAGAGGTCAGCCGGGTGCTTGGAATCACAGACGGGGCCCGGGTAGGTGTCCCTGGTGGGTGGACCCGAGCAGGGCTGAGGCTCAGTCATCCATTGGAAGTTGAAAGATCCGATGTGTTGGCCTGTGGGACCTTGTGGGCACACGGGAGCAGTGTCATGTGTCAGACGAGGAGCAGGACAGGAGCCAGGACTGACCCTCTGCAGTGTAAGGGCAGGACAGTCCAGCCCACACCCTGGCTCGGTGCCGGGCAGGAGCATGACCCGCAAGGTGGGCTTTATGGGAGGGCCGTGGACAGGTGTGGGCCTGGTAGGCACAGCATCCGCTCCCTCCTGTTACTAGGATCCCCATGGCTACTGTCCCTGCCTCCTTGTCCCTGTTGGCAGCCATCCTCCCTCTTCCTGCCTTCCAGTTCTTTCCGGCCCATCTATCCATCATCTTTCCTACATCATGGAACATTGGCTTCATCGTGACCTTCCAGCCTCACTCAACGCTTCCAGGGCCTCTGGGCAGTGTCTGAATCTCCTCTTGTGATTGAACACCTTTCCTAGAAGCATCTTCTTGTCTTCTGCACCCCTTACCCACTGCATCCCCCCACCCCCACCCCCAGCCTTCTAGCTTTCCTCCATTCCCGCCACATACCCCCTGTGTGCGTTGCCCTTGCTTCTTACCTTCGTCTGAGCTTTCCATAGCTGTCACTTCCAACAGCAAAGCAGCTTCCTGGGGATTTAGCTTTAAGGGGGTGGATGTAGTGTGTCATGTGGGAGCCCCAGAGTTTTCTGCCTGGCACCTTTGGTACCGTGCCCCTCGCTGTGGCATGGCCAGCTGGGACCCTGATGACCCCCAGCACCATGAGACCTGAGTCCTGAGCCCTCAGACCCACACCGCTGGGCACATAACCACCAGGAGTGGCCCCAGGTCCCGCGAGCACCATGGGTGTGGCCCCTGGTAGAAAGAAAGCTGCCAAGCAAACACACTCAGCCAAGCTGCCACCTGCTGTTCTGGCCCGTTGGCCTCTCCCTGGTTGGCAAGCCCGTGCACGTCTTCTGGGGACAGGAACTGGATCTTTGTATCAGTGTCCCCAGCAGCGGGCCCTGTGCTGAGTGGACATCCTGGCTCTTTGCCCAGAGGAGCTCAGCTGATTAGCTGGGCCTGCGCTCTGCTCTCCAAAGCACGGGTGTCCCCTGGGGGCAGCGGAGAGAATCAGGCGGGCAGAAGGCGGGGACCAGGGTGGAGAAGGCGCCACCAAATCAGAGGCATCTTCTGGTGTGTTTTGTTTTTCTCTCCCACTAATAATAGTATGAACCGTTGACACAGTTGGCAGAATCCTGGGAGGGATAAAACAAGGTCTCTGTCTTGTTTTGGTGGCAGGGCCCCACCTAGCGATGCTCAAGGGTCAAGGGTTACTCAGTAATTACCACCAGGTGCTCAGGGGACCATCTGGGATGTCGGGGATTGAACCCAGGTTGGCTGTGTGTGCAAGGCAAGTGTCCTACTCGCTCTACTATTTATGGCTCCGGACCAGCTTTTTAGAAAATTCTATTTAACTTTAAGAATTTTTATTTTATTTTATTTTTCCATTTTAAGCACTGTGATTCACCATACCGTTACTGGTAGGGTTTGATGGGTGCATTGTTCCAGCACCACACCCTCTCCAAGAGAGCCCACTTAGCACCATACCCTCCCCAGAAAGCCCACTTCCCTACCCCATTGTGGTCCCAGGCTACCCAGGATCCTACATTCCCCCCGATCCCAGGCACCCCTCAACCCCCAGCTCAGTTCTCTAGATCAGCTGTCAGGTCCTGTGGCCTTTGGGTGCTGTTTCCTTACCACCCTTCTTTATGGCCCCTCTCTGAGACAGATCTGCCCCTCTTTTCTGGCTGACTGCCCTCAACATGATACCCTCCAGATCCATCTGTGAAAACAGTCTACACCCCACCATTTTGACCACACAAGACACAGGCAGCAGAATCACTGGGCGTGAGGGGGCTGCGGCTAGGAGGGGCCTGTGCCTGATACGGGGGGGAGAATCAGGCCTTGGGGCCCGAGAGAGAGGGGGCAGAAATGGGCAGTGGGGATGGATGGGTGCTGGGGAGCCCACAGGGCCCCAGCCCGGGGCGGGGGTCATCAGGCCTTTCCTGGCATCCTCCCCTGACCCCTGCCACAAAATGCCAAGCCGGCAGCTTCCCTACCGTGGCTTTCCCCACGTTCACGGGCCTCTTGGTTCTTCCCAGGCGCAGACCATGAACTACGTGGGGCAGCTCGCGGGCCAGGTTTTCGTCACCGTGAAGGAGCTCTACAAGGGCCTGAACCCCGCCACGCTCTCGGGATGCATCGACATCATCGTCGTCCGCCAGCCCAATGGGAGCCTCCAGTGCTCGCCGTTCCACGTGCGCTTCGGGAAGATGGGGGTGCTGCGCTCCCGGGAGAAGGTGGTAAGTGCCGGGGAGCCGGGGTGGGGGAGGGGGTGTGTGGCTGGGGGGAGCTTGGGCATGGGCCGCCCCCAGGCAGACGCGAGCCTGGCTCTTCCACTCCCCTGATGGACGGATGGATGGTGTCTCTGTGGGAGTCTCCCGAGTGGCCAGGGACCCTGCTGGTCATTCCTCGAGGGTCTGGGTCAGGGCCTGTCTGACGGCACAGCAAGAGCAGGAGGGGTTGAGCTGGGGGGAAAGTTGGAGCCTCACCAGTCTACACAGCTGCTGTGCCTCGCTCATTGTTTGTGGCACCTCTGAGTTCTGGGGACGGCGGGGGGGGGGGGCGGTGTCACGGTCTCAGCTGGGATAGTCCCAGTGATGCCAAAATGAGGGTCCTATATGACGGGGGCAGCTCCAGAGATGGGGGGCCCGGGTGGGTATTGCCTCCGAGGTCACCCTGCATCACCTCTGATGCTTGTGGTTGTGAGTGTGTGGGGAGTCAGGGTGTGGGGCTGCGGCCGTGTGGGCAGTAAGTAGCCTGTGACTTGATGAGGGGGGTTGGAGCATGCCCAGCCTGGGGCACTGGCTGAGGTAGGGGACCAGGAGGTGCTCCCTGGGGGAGGTGACTCAAGGTTTGGGCAGAAGATGTGGGTAAGATGTGGGTGGTGCTGAGTTCCTGTTCTCTTAACCGTTGGCCCTTCCTTCAGGTTGACATTGAAATCAACGGGGAGTCTGTGGATTTGCACATGAAACTGGGAGATAACGGAGAAGCCTTTTTTGTTCAGGAGACTGATAACGACCAGGTGAGGAGGGTGGTGTGGGCCGCGGCCATTGGTCCCGGGGACCAGGAAGTGTGAGTGTGTGTGTGTGGGGGGGACTGGAAGTGGGCACTCGGCCGTGTGGACGGTGGCAGCCTCCCTGTGCTGGGCGTGTGGTCACACGGGGCTGGGCATTGCCCTGGACACACAAGACTGGGCAGCCCCGCTTGTCTCAGCGTGCCCGTGTCCAGGGAGACAGAAATCAAATCTCATTGGCCGGCCTGAACCACTGTCCAAACTGTTTGAATATCTGGAGTTGTCAACTCACACGTCTCAAGTATTGTGATTGTATTTATTTATTTATTTTCCCATTAAATTTTTTTATTTATTTTACAGACTTACAAAACTTTCACGATTACATTTCAGTCATACAATGATCGAATACCCATCCTTCCACCAGTGCCTGTTCTCCACCACCAGTGACCCCAGTATCCCTCCCACCACCCCAACCCCTTCTCAACCCCTGCCTCTGTGGCAGGCACATTCTCTCTCTCTCTCTCTTTCTCTCTCTCTTTCTCTCTCTCTCTCTCTCTTTCTCTCCTCTCTCTCTCTCTCTCTCTCTCTCTCTCTCTCTCTCTCTCTCTCTCGTTATGGTTTGCAGTACAGGTATTAAGCAGCCATCATGTTTGGTCCATAGCCTACTTTGTTCTGATTGTATTTAGTGAGTGACCATTTAAAAAAAATTGTTATTTAAAAAATATGTTCACAGCTTCAGCCATATAATTTTTTTAAGCCACCAAGAGCTGACAACTGTGCCATTTCTGTTTTATTTGCGTTTTTTAAAAAATTTTTATTAGTGAGACACCATGAGGTACAGTTGTAGATCTACAACAGTCATATAATTTTGGGACCCTCACTGATCCATTTCTGGTATACAGCACAGAGGTTTGCATGGTACAAATGAGAAGCAGGCAGCACCATTTGTATTTATTTTATTCATCATCCTGTTAATCGTCGATTGCCTCGAGCAGGCCCCAGTAACGTCTCTTTCATCCTAGCCCTGAGATTATATTCAAGGCTTTTTAGGAGAATGAGACCCATCATTGTTACTGGTATTTGGCATATTTGGTGCGCCACGGGGAGTTTGCCAGACTCTGCCCTGTGGGCAGGCTACATTCGATAGCCTGCAAGTTTGTCCAAAGTAGGAATGAGATAATAAGATGTCATAAAAAAAGATGTCCTGATAAGATGTCACATGACCGCATTCGCAGGAGCTGGTTTTTATAGTCTCTGAGTCTTGGCCACTGATGGGATTACACGGCGCCAGGGGGCCAGGTGGTGGGTGTGACCCCCGCCTACTGGAATTTGGAGGATCTGGGTGGAGGATGCTCGACTCCAATCCGAGTAGGCTTGGAGATCTCGGCCCCGGAACCCGCGTGGCTTTGTCCCTCTGCCAGTACCTTCATGTGTGCGGAGAGTGGTCTCAGCATGGTGGTGGCTGGTCCTGGAGGTCTTCGGCTGCCGGAGCCCTGGTCGGGGTGGGGAGGAAAGCTCAACCCGCTCCCCTCCAAGGGACCCCGGCGAGGAACAGCCAGGCGCAGGGGCAGGAGACTGACTGCACTGGTCTCGTCCGGTGCATAAAATATATTTTATGTATTTATTTATTTTAGTTTTGGGCCATACCTGGCAGGGCTCTGGGGCTTCTTTGGCAGTGCTGGGAGCGGGGAGGGTCCCACAGTGCTGGGGGCTGAAACCAGGCCTCCTCCATATAAGCCCATGCTGAGAGCCTTGGGCTATCTCCTTCGCCCCCCCCACCTCACCCCCCTCCCCCGAGGTAGCACAGTTAAGGAACAAGGTTGTCACCTCTGAAAGAAACTCTGCCCTTCAATCCTCACCTCCCCTGTCCCCATCTTCCCAGTCCTTGCTGAGCCCAGTGCAGAGACTTTTCTTGTGTGTCTCTGAATGAACCATGGTGTGTAGCCCTATGGGTGTAGTTCTGTTGCGGTTGCTGGGGGCTGAATGGAGTCACCCATGTCCGTTCTGTCCCATAGGCTGATGGGTGCTAGGTGGGTTCTGCCTTTTGGCTGTTGTGAAAAATGGCTGCTATGAGCCTTTGTGTACAAGAAGTTTGTGTGCATGAGATTTTTCTTTTCTTTTTTTTTTTTTTTTTTTTTGCTATTTGGTCATATCCGGTGATGCTCAAGGGTTCCTCCTGGCTCTGCACTTAGGAATCACTCCCGGCAGTGCTCAGGGGACCACATGGGATGCTGCTGTGGATTGAACCTGGGTCGGCCATGTGCAAGGCAAACGCCCTACCCACTGTGCTGTCGCTCTGGCCCCAGTACTTGAGCATTTTTTGTTTGTTCGTTTGTTTGTTTTGCTTTTTGGGTCACACTTGGCGATGCACAGGAGTTCCTCCTGGCTCCGCACTCAGGAATCACTCCCGGCAGTGCTCAGGGGACCACACAGGATGCCGTGGATTGAACCTGGGTCGGCCGTGTACAAGGCAAACGCCCTACCCGCTGTACTATCGCTCTGGCCCCAATACTTGAGCATTTTTGTCTTGGGTATGTGGCTGGAGCCGAATTGGTGGACCACACGGAAACTTGGCTTTTGCCATGTAATGCGTGTTTGACCGCTGCCCGGAACCCAGGTGCTTTTCCATCTGTCACCAGCAGGTTGTGAGGTTTGGGGCTTACCAACGGGTTCCTTCGCGTTTGCCAGCCAGCCCTGTGATCCCAGCCCCCGGCTCACCAGCCCATTTCCCGTCCCGCAGGAGGTGATCCCCATGCACCTGGCCACCTCCCCCATCCTATCGGAAGGAGCCTCTCTGATGGAGTGCCAGCTGAAAAGGAACTCCATGGACAGGACGAGGGGCCTGGACCCCAGCTTGTCAGCCCAGGACCTGCCGCCCAGTGACACCCCTCCCGGGGGCTCGTTGGTGAAGAAGAGAAGAAAACGGCGGAGAAAGTCGCAGCTGGATAGCCTGAAGAGAGAAGACAGTATGGATGTGTCGGAAGATGAGGACATGTTTCCCATAGAGATGAGCTCCGACGAGGGCCCCGAGCCGGTGGGCACTGTGAGGTGAGAGGGGGTCACGTGGTGGGCTGGGTCCCAACGGGACTGGTAGCTTCTTTTTGGTCCTGGCAGTGTTCTTTGTTCTTGGGTCATACCCAGGGGGTGTTCCCGGTGGTCATTAAGTTCTTGAATCGAACCCTGGTTTCCCACATCCAGATTCTTGTGTTCAGCTCCTTGAGTCATTGTTCTGGCCCCAAAGTGTCGTGTGTGTGTGTGTGTGTGTGTGTGTGTGTGTGTGTGTGTGTGTGCGTGCAGGGATTAAATTTAGGGCCTCACACATGTAAATGTGAACTCGAGCACCAAGCCACATTCTCAGCCACTGAGCCAGTTCTGAATTTCCTTTTCTTTTGGTGGGGTAAAAGGTGTTGGGTCACACCCAGGAGTACTCGGACTATTTCTGGCTCTGTGCTCCAGAATGACCTCTGGAGGTATGCTGGGGACCATACGCGGTGCTAGGGTGGGCTGCATGCTAGGGGAGCACCTTAGCCCCTACCGTCTTTCCTACCCCAAAGTGTAAAGTTTGTAAATCATGCAAAGGACGCACCTGCAAAACACATTTATGTGTGTCTTCATCTCACTTTTCCCCAGTTACAGCCTGGAAACTCTACCTGGGTGGTTTTCCAGGGGATCATGGTCATCTGGGGCTGGAGTGATAGCATAGCGGGTAGGGCGTTTAAGTTGCACGCGGTGGATGTTGGTTCAATTCCTCCGTCCCTCTGGGAGAGCCCGGCAAGCTACTGAGAGTATCCTGAGCCTGGCAAGCTTCCCGTGGTGTATTTGATCTGCCAAAAACAGTAACAAGTCTCACATTGGAGACGTTACTGGTGCCCACTCGAGCAAATCGATGAAGAACGGGAGGACAGCGCTACAGGGATACAGTGCAGGGTCATCTGAAGAGTACTTAGAGATAACCAAGAGAAGTGGAAATTTGCTTTCTTGTGGATCTGTCACTAATAATTCTTGGACTTGTAATCTTCCTTTTTGTTTTTTTTTTCCCCTCCAGAATCCTTTCTAACGATAAACCTCCATTCCAAGATGATGCTTCTGAGAAAGACCGTTCCCCAGGCCCGACATACCCTCAGTCGGCGTCTTACCCTAATTCCGATAGAGAGTGGACCCCGAGTACAAGGTGAGCAGCTGCGGGCGTGGATTTGCTCATCTCTGCCTAGGGAACTCCTAGTCAGCGGCAGGAAATGTGTTCAGTAGAAAAAGAATAAAGGATAAAAAGTGATCAGCACCAGAAAAGTACAGATTAGAGTAGGAAGGTATAGAGAAGGAATAATAAAAAAAAAAGTAATGGGGCCAGAGATAGTATAGTGGGTAGGGCATTTCCCTTGCACACAGCCGACCCAGGTTCGATCCCCGGCATCCCATATGGTTTCCTGAGCACCCCCCAGGAGTAATTCCCGAGTGCAGAACCAGGAGTAACCCCTGAGCATTGCTGGGTGTGGCCCAAAAAGCAAAAAAAAAAGTAAGGGTCTGGGAAAGGAAACGGCGTTAGGCCTGTGTCCATCTGGATGCCAGTCCTGGACCTATAGGGTGGCCCCAGCCTTTCCGGGCACAGCCCCTAAGGGTCCCCTGTCCTGCCAGGGAGGTCTGGGTGATTCCAGGCCCTCGCCTTGAATTCATGGCCCACTTTGCCGGGACTTGCTGGTGGGGCCCCTGGTCAGGCCCCCACCCCAAACTAAGAAAACACGGACAGGTCATAGGCTTGTAACTGGTGTTAAACTACAGCTGTGGCTCTTGGTTCGCTGAGGTGACACGGAAAAGTGGGGTGTGGTTCTGTGACCCTCGATGCTTGCATGCCCAGCAGGTAACTGAGCCTGCCGGACGTTCAGCTCTGAGGTGAAGAGCAGCCACGGACCGTGGCTGCAGGGGCTCGAAGTCCATTCGGGCTGCTAGAATGCTGCCCGCTGCCCTGGTGCTCTGTTCTGAACTGAGAACACGTCTTTCCTGAGATGACTTTGTGCCCCGTCAAGTCTGGAACTGCCCAGCATGGAAGTGGGCAGCCCTTAGAATCCAGAGCCTTTTCAGCCAGAGACGCTGAGGAGAATCTGGGAGCCCCGCTGACCAGGAATTGTGGGAGGGACAGTTCAGGAATCCCCTCCCCCCCAGCCCCACGTGGGGATGAACGTTGGCCCCTGGTGTGGTGGTGTGTGGGCTCCAGTGGACCCTACCACGCCGAGGCCATCAAGAGTTCGTGCTGGAGGCCGGTAGGGGATGTGACACAAAGTTTGGCGGTGCTGAAGCGAGGGAAACGCTCAGGACTCACCGACGAAGCAGCAGAGCAGAGTTCTGGAATCCTGGCCAGGGCAGCGTTTATTTCTGGGATAAAATGGAAGAGGAAGGGACCTGGAAACTACTGGCAGGTGCCAGGAGGGTTCTGCTCCAGCTCGGCTCAGGGAAGCTGTCAGGGTCCTGGCTAGTCGACCCCGGCACTCTGGAGTATGATCCCCCTGGTCGCCGGACTTACTCCCTAGAGGAGAGGGACTGGGAAGGAGAGAAGCCTCTGCCCTGACCCTCTGCACACCATGGACTCCTGCCACCACCGAGAAAGAACCACGTGGAACGGGGGAAAGCTGGTGGTCAAGCAGCAATCCGTTTATTAGCTCTCACACGGGGAGAGACATTTTTATACATACATTTCAGGGGCAATCCACACGTATCACGTTTACCTTGTCAGGCTCAGTATAGATGCTGATTTGCATCTTCTGCTCTTAGGGTCAGGTGTATCATCCCTCATCCTCAACCAGAGTGCCTACGTGTGTGGAGTGGTGGAGCAAGCCCCCAGGCCCCTGTAAACAGGGCCAGCTCTTTCTTTCAGGGGAAGGGAATTGAGACCCCAACAGAAGTCTGCTTCTCTCCCACTGGACCAGGCGCAACACGGCAAGCTGTGTGTGGGGCAGACAGAAGGCCCACGCCTGGTTCTCGTCAGAACCTTGATGGGCAATGTTGCTCAGCAGGGCTGTGTCCAGCTGTCTCCTAAATGCCAGCTCTGCCCCCACAAAGGCCCGCTGCCCGCCAGGTGCCTGTTCCCTGTCCTCAGGACCAGGTTTAGAGCGTCACAGGGAGCCGAAGAGGTCGATAGGAACCGTTTTATTTCCCTGGGTGTGTCTGCGATAATCATCTCATTTCCACAGGGCATGGAACTCAGTGACGGAAGCGTTTTCCTTTTCCGTTCTTGTTTTCATATCTTTATTTATTTTGTTTTTTGGGGCCACACCCAGAGGAGCTAAGGCATCACTCCTGGTGGGCTCAGGAGAACATGTGGGATACCGGAGATCGAGTCTGGGTCAGCTAGCTACATGCATGACAGGTGCCCTACTTCCGGCCACCAATTTTGGGGTGCTTTTTAAATTTTTACTTATTTATTTTATTTTATTCTTTTTTGGCCTACATCCGGCTCATACCCTGTCTCCAAATTAAGGGTCTTTTTTCTAGCACCCTGGTTTGGGTTCCTCACGTCCTGAGCACTCCCCAGTAGCAGACGCAGCTAGTGCTGGCTACCGTGGTGAGGGTACCTCAGGTAGAGTCTGTGGAGAAGTCACCTCAGCGGGGTGTGTGTGTGGGGGGAGGGGGGAGGAGAAACTGCTTGTGGAGGACAAAGGCAGAGACCACCTGAGGAGCCACTCAGGGGCAGCACTGCACGATTCACTTTGGAATTTAAAACGTTTTCAGTGCGACCCCCACATACGTCTCTTTGTTGTGTATGTAATACTCCATGCATCCGGGCTGTGGCCACGTGAGCCCCCATACTGATCAGGCTACAGAGACTTTTCTTTTCCTGGAAGTGGGTATTTTCTCAGAGGACACAGCCGACAGCTCACAGCGTCAAGCTTTTGGAGCCAGGCTGTGCGGTCAGGAGACGCTCCTGGGAAGTCTGTGGGTGAAACAGAAAGTGAAAATAAATGTGTTTTGGGGCAATTTCCTTTTTGGTGTGTGGTTTACAAAATTCCTGTTGCACTTTTGCTTTTTTGCTTTTTTGGGTCATACCTGGAGATGCTCAGGGGTTACTCCTGACTCTGCACTCAGGAATTACTCCTGGTGGTGCTCAGGGGACCATATGGGATGCTGGGAATCGAACCTGGGTCGGCTGCGTGCAAGGCAAATGCCCTACTTGCAGTACTATGACTCCAGCCCCTCATGTTGCTTTTTAAAAAAATCTCCACCTAGTAACCTCCACCGTTTGCTGTTCAGGACGTTCATTTGTGATTCCTGCTAGTAGTCAGGTATTGGAAGTCAAATTTCATTTCATTTCATTGACCTATGATTTTTTTTTTCCCTTTCACTGTCTGGCCTTGTGTCCAGTAGTCCGATAGACTGTAAAAGGACGTCCCCATCTCACCTGGCAGTGGCGGACGAGAGTGGACTCTCCAGTTCTTGCCCTCCACAGTGCTCTCGGTTCCTTCCTCCAGAAAGGTAGCGGGCGGGGTTCTCCCCTTCTTGCGTGTTTTCCGTCCTGACTCTCTTTTAACCTCACGCTTCCAAATCTATTTTTTCAACTAACCAGTTTACTTACAAAGAAAAAAAAAAAGAGATACAGATGGTTCCTTTTCATGTTCAATATTTGTAGAGTATTAGGCTTTTAAAAAAGTCTAATAAAAGACTATTTAGAATTTTTATTTATTGTCTTTTTGGGATACACCTGGTGATGCTCAGGGATTACTCTGGATTCTATATTCAGGAATTACTCTTGGTAGTGCTCAGGGGAATCAAACGGGATGCCGAGGATTGAACCCGGGTCTATCACATGCAAGGCAAACACCCTCCCCTCTGTCCTGAGTATTAGACTTTTTAAAGTGCCAGGTTCAGTTTCCGGGCAGTGATGCCTGTAATTCTTTTCCCAATTCTGTGGCGCTAGAACAGGCAGGCAAGGTAAAAATAAAAATTTGGGCTGTGAGCATTGTTTTGCATCTGGGGTCGTTTCCACAGGTGAGTTTGCAGGGCACTGTTCAGCACACCATTTCCGAACAGGGGACATTACTCGGGGGATGATTCAGATAGCTCCTCAGACTTTCTGAAAAGTGGCATTGAATTTTTTTCCTTAGTATTACAGGAAGAGAGGTTTGGCCAAGAGCAGAGTAGGGGGCATTGGTTTATATTTTCTCTTGATGCTGTGGGTGCAGGTTTCTGCTTCCATGCTCCGGGGTTGCCCACCTCTCACCTGCCTGCCAGATAGAGCACGCCCCAGATATAACTGGGGGGCACATCCTGTTGGTTCTCTTCGGTGAAGTCCCTGGTGGCGGGCACCTCTGATGGAGACTGACTGACTGACTGCATCAGACCATGCAAGTGAAGTGTGTGGTTTCTGCCTGGTAACTGTTTTTCAGTTTTGATTTTTAGGAGCTAAGTTTCCAGAGGGATTTCCTTCAGAGGTTACAAAACGCATCTTCCAAGGTGATACTTGCAGTCCCGAACAGTTGGGGTGGATCTGCCTCCGTGCTACTGGCATAAATCTTGGCTACTAGCACGCAGATGACTCGTGACCCCACAGCCACGTAGGCTGACTTTGCTGGAGCAACCCTTGTTCTCAACGGTCTAATGCTTACTGAAGGGAGGTTTCGGAACCCGCTTTCTCATTGGCCGAGCTTGGTGTTGGGAGTGCTCCTGTGGGTCTGCCTTTCCCTGGTGAGCCTTGCAGAGTGGTGTGTGTGTGTGTGTGTGTGTGTGTGTGTGTGTGTGTGTGTGTTTACAGTTCCGCAGAACCCCAAGAAGGAGAACCAGGGCAGCCCAGAACCCCAAGAAGGACCAGCGCAGCCTCAGAGAGAGGCCCATGTTTGTGGTGGACGCCGATTGGCTGGTACTTCCACTCAGGGCTTAGTTCTCGGGAAATGAATTTTGTAAAACCCAGAACCCCCTTGGAACCCTCTGGCTTTTCTGATGGCACCAGAATCTTGGGTATCCTGGAGTCACTCTGTTGCCTGTGCAGTGCTTTGGGGACCATATGGGATGCTGAGGATGAACCCAGGTGGCCCAGGTGGCTGTGTGTAAGGCAAATACCCTCCAGGCTGTGCTATCGCTCCTGCCCTAACGGCCTTTGATTTGATGAGAAAACTTACCCTAGCAGACACTGAGCTCCGTGACGAGACTTGGGGCCCTGGTCTCACGAGGAGCCACGTTGCCTACAGTCAGGCTTTCTAAGAACTCAGCTTCAGTGCTCACCGAGCACTTGCTGCTCCAGGGTGGTTATGATCAAGCTCGCAGGATGCGCCCAGACAGAGACGTCTGTCATTCCTCATGCACAGTTGGACGGCTCTTGTCCCAGACCAAGCTCACTCTAAAGGGCTTTTTGTAGGTTTCGTGACGATGAGTGAGACCACCCAGATGCCAGGGAACTTACAGCAGAGCAGGCTGGAAATGGGCTGTGATGGCCTTGCAGGACAGGAGCGTTGTTGGAGTGTGGACAGGTGTGGGAGCAGCACCCTGCTCGCCTTGGAAGCCAGAGGGAGTGGCCGTCCATGAGGACTTGGGAGTGGGGATTCTGGCCACACAGAGGCCCCTGGGCCCCAGGCAAGCTGGACTCCCTCTGCGTGCCTCACTATGCTGGGCAGGTAACCTGGACACTCAGGGACAGAGAGGGAGCCCTTCACAGTTTCAGAACTAGAGGGAGAGGGAGAGAGGGAGGTCGGAAGGTTCTGGACAGTTTTTTCCCCACAAGATCCCTTTTTTGGGAAACTGTGTCCTCAAGGGTGTGTGCATGTGTGTACGTGTGTGTGTGTGAGCCTGTGCATGTGTGTTAGCTTGTGCATGTGTGTGTGTTTTGTGTGTGTGTGCATTTGTGTTCGTGTATGTTAGCTTGTGCATGTGTGTGTGTTTTGTGTGTGTGCGTTTGTGTGCTTGTGTGTGTGCGCGTTTGTGTGCATGTGTGTGTTAGCCTGTGGATGTGTGTGCGCATGTGTTTGTGTGTGTGCGTATGTGTGTGGGCGCGTGTGCATGTGTGTGCGTGTCTGTGTCTATGAACGGGTTAGCCTGTGCGTTTGTGCGTGTGCAGGTGTGTGTGTGTTAGCCCCTGTGTGTGCTGAGTGGAGGCTCTGTGGGGGTCTTTTTCCACACGCTGTTGGCATAGCACCTGAGCCTGTCATCTGGAAGGGCTCTGTGGAGCCAAGGCGTCCTGCCAGAGAAACTCGGGAGCGTCGTGTGGGGGCTTGGATGTCATGTGAGTTTCCCTCACCAGCCCAGAGCTCTCCTCGGCCAAGGAGACCACAGACGAACCTAAGGAAAATGGGGGTGGGAGGTCAGGGGCCCGCAGAATCCTGCAAGGGATGATTACTGGGGCGTTGGTTCTGTTCTGACCTTGCGTGGGGTGGAGAACTCAGAGAGCGTCTAGTGGATACTCTGGTCATTCTTGAGACCCGGTCAGTTTGTGGGACCTGAGCCGACCGTGGTGCTCTGGACTCAGGGATAAGAACAGGGAAAACGTGGCCGGGCGAGCCTGCCTCGCGGCCTCTCCAAGGCTGGCCCGAGAGAGCAGAGTGGCACGGCCGGAGCGAACCTTTGATGCGCCCCAGGAGCGTTTGGTGTTGTGTCAGCCAGCCCCAGTGTGGCAGCTCCTGCCACGTCTCAGCAAGCTTCTGGTGTGAGGCAACGCTGGTTCCTGATGCAACCCTGCGGTTTCCAGGGAGGGACGGGGCAGACTTAGCAATGGTTGACACAGCAGTGCAGGGGCGTGTGTCAGTTGCCTTCAGCTGTGGCCCGAGAACTGGGGCTACATTTGGAGGGGGCTGAGAGACTGGGGCTGCAGGATGGTGAAGGCCAGCTGAGGGCCCGAGGGTGGGTTGCTCTGAGGGAAGCATGCACCTTTATGTCTCTCTCTCTCTCACTCTCTCTCTCTCTCTCTCTCTCTCTCTCTCTCTCTCTCTCTCTCTCTCATCCTTGATTTTCAATAATGCTGCTTCTTACCTGTGTGTGTATTTGTGTGTGTCTGTGTGTATGTGTTTTCTCTCGCCCCCTGGTGGACAGCCTGGGAAATGCCACGATACCTCACTTTCACTCGGAGGATTATGGGGGTGCTTTTCTCCTCCTCAACACCGTCACCCCACTATTAGAGGGGTTGAATTCCGGGTTAAAAACATGAAAATGTTTTTTTTTCTCTTTCCTTTTTTTTTTAAAGTCCTTCAGGTTCCCGACCCTCCACACCTAAAAGTGATTCCGAATTGGTCAGTAAATCCGTGGACAGACCCACGCAGAAGAATACTCTGGAAATGCTCTGGCTATGGGGGGAATTGCCACAAGCTGCAAAGGTCAGTGTCCCACTCAGCTCTTTTGCCCTCTCACCTGGCCTCAGAGCGCAGGTCACCTGGGATCGGGGCCACGCGGTCAGCCAAGGAGACGCAAACGGATCAGGGCTGGTCTTCTTGATAAGGCTGAGTTGCCTTTATAAAGCGGTTTCATTGCCTTCGTAGATGCTGAACCCCAGGGGGACTTGTGATTTGCGCGTCTACATTTCATTTCACAACTGCTTGCAGGTTACATTGGAAGAGAGGGACTGCGTCTGTGTTTTATGCATGTGCGTACATGATGGCTCCTCACGTGTAAATCATAGATATATATACAAGCTCTGTCCTGCAGAATCCGTGCACAGAGTCTCGCTGTCTCTCCGTACTCTGCATTCTGCACAGAGGCCATGAGAAAGCCACGGGATGCAGGATGCTGGGGCTGGTCCTGCGGAAGTAGGCGCGTGAGTGCAGGCTCTCATGACCTGGCAGAGAGGAGGATGGCAGCAGGGGGCATGGGGGAGGGGTGGGGGGCAGGGACAGGCTGATGGCGCAGGACAACTTGGGTCCCATCGTCCGCACAGTCAGGACATGCTAAGGCCCTACATTCTTCAAGTGCTGAGTTATTCTTGGAGGCCTCCTTGGGGGTGAGACTCCTGAGTTTCTGAAGAAAGAGAAAAGCAGCAGAGTCTGGTTGAGAAGGGGAGGGTGGGAGGAGGAGGAAGATGGGGAGGGGGAGGAAGGAGGAGGAAGGTGAAGGGGAGGGGAGGGGGGAGATGAGGAGGATGGGGGAGGGGGAAGATGAGGTGGAGGAAGAGGAGGAAGATGAGGAGGGGGAGGGGGAGGAGGAAGATGAAGGGGAGGGGAGGAGGAAGATGAGGAGGATGGGGAGGAGGAAGATGAGGTGGAGGAGGAGGAAGATGAAGAGGGGAAGGAGGAGGAAGATGAAGAGGGGAAGGAGGAGGGGGAGGAAGATGGAGAGGAGGAGGGAAAAGAGGAAGATGAGGAGGGGAGGAGGAAGATGAGGTGCAGGAGGATCCTGGAAGATGAGGAGCAGATGAAGGAGGAGGAAGATGGGGAGGAGGAAGGGAAAGAGGAAAATGAGGAAGAAGATGAGGGGAAGGAAGAGGTGGAAGATGGGGATAAGGAAGGGAAGGTGAGGAGGTGGATGAGGATGGGGAGAGCGAGGAGGAGGAGGAAGAGGAGGATTGGGGAGGAGGGTGAGGAGGAGGGAGAGGAGGGCAGGGAGGAGGGCTGGAGGGAGAGGAGGAGGAGGAGGCGTCCCTAGCCTGCCTCTCCAGCTCGGTTTCCTGTTCTCCCTCTCTGTGCTCCTCCCCAGCCTCCAGGGGTCTGTCTGCACCTAGGGAGGGCAGAGGCTGCTCCGAGTTGGGGCGTCCGAGGCGCTGCCCTTGCGTGGCCCAGATCGGTGGTTGGCCTCCGGTTTCTCGGGCTGTGTCACCTCCAGCTCACCCCAACCTCCTGGAGGTTGGGAGACCGCAGCTGCGTCACCCCCTCGAAGCACTCTATGGGGAGAATCTCCCAAGAGGTGCTGTTTCCCATTCCACAGAGTTACAGGAATCTTGGGTTAATGTTCTCGATCACAAATCTCTTTAACCCCCTTCCCTACCCCCTCAACGGAATCCCACCCCTGCCCCCTTGGGCCCCCGCAGCCTCGACCTTCCGACACTCCAACACCGCTGTGGCCTCTCGGTTCTTAGTAAATGTGTGTCATGAATGAATGAATGAATGGGCAAGCTGGTGGGGGTGGGGGCCACTGGGAAGCTGGGCTGGGTGGGGGCGTTTGCTCGGGCGGAAGTGCTGGGTCCCTCCCTCCCGGGTTATATTTAACTTTCACGGAAACCGGCTGATCTGTCTGCACACACAGCGAGGTGACCGCCTAACCACAGTTACAGGTCACTGCCGTTTGTCCCTGGGGACAGGTGTGAGAGCGGCCCCGCGGGGCCTGCAGCGCCGGCTCTAACCGCAGAGGTGCCCTGCTGGCGTTTCCAGGGCAGTTTAGGGAGGCGAGGGCACACCTGGTCCTCAGCTGGGGCGGGAAGCAGCGTCTGTCTTTCTATACTGGAGACTTGGTGGGGGGAGGCCCGGCCAGGGGCTCTCATTTCCCCGCGTGCAGGAACCGACCCCCAAGTCTGAGTGAGTGAAACTCTTGGTGGTTGTTTTTTTTTTAATTTTTTTTTCTTTTCGGAGGGGGGGGGTAGCAGCTTTTTAGAGAAACCCCCCCCCACCCCTGAGGATGGATCTCACACCGTGCACCCGAGAACTTGCCCGTGGGTTGTGGGCCCACGCCAGGAAGCAGGACCTCGGCAGCTACCGGGGCACCCCTGACTGCCACCCCAGGCTGAGCCCAGCCCTGAGCTGCCCGCAGAGAACAGGGGCCCAGGCATCCTGGCCGAGTGCCGGCACCGCCCGAGGGGCAGCCCTGGAACCGGTTTCCATCTGGCCCTGGGAAAGCTCATTTGCTTGGGGATGTTTGGGGACCTTTCTGGCAGGTGTGGACACGACCAGCTGTCCCCTAGGCCTTCATGCTTTTGGAATGGCCATGGGTGGCCTCAGTGTGGTGCCCCTCTGGTCAGGGCCTGTGTATGAGCACTGACTCTCTCTCTCCCCCTGTCTCTCTCTGGCTCTCCCTCTCCCTCTCTCCCTCCCCCCGCCGCCCCTGTGTTGGCCATCCAGTCCTCTCCCCACAAAGCCAAGGACTCCAGCCCGCAGAGCAGCAGGAAGGTGTGTGACAAGCTGCATTTCCACGCCATCCGCAGCAGCGAGCCTTCCGAGGCCTTCAGTGACCAGCCTCCCGCGCAGGCCCAGGGGCCTTCCCTGCCGCCCCCGTCCCCGCCGCCCCCATCCTTCGAGGAGAGCAAGCCTCCCCAGGACGTGCAGTTTGTGAACGAAGAGGAGCCCGAGGCCATGGGGGCCGCCGCAGCCCCCTCACCCACCTTGGAGGAAGCCAAGATGCTCCCTGCCAGTGTGACCCCCGGGGCAGCTGTGGTGGCGGCGGTGGCCGCCAGCAAGACAGACTCGCCATCTCGGAAGAAAGGTGTGAGGTCGGCGGGTGGAGAGCACGACCCCCCTGGTGCCCCCACCACCGTGCCCTTGGCTTCCGTCCTTAGTCCCCAGCATCTCCGGATCCGTGGGAGCCCCGGCTGTGTGGTGCTGGGCCCCTCGCTTGGGGTTGGGGGCCGCGGGTGTCAGTCCTAGTCAGCATCTGCTGGGACCCCTTTGGGGAGGGAATTATAGGAAGCTGGTCATTAAGGGAGTGATCCTCTGACCCCCGCACCCCCTGGCCTCTGTCCCGAGTGGCCTCCCTGGGTCATGTTTGCCAGAGATGGATGCCTTGTTATGCTTGAATCCTGCCCACCGCACACCTCCACATGCACACACGTGCACATGCATGTACACACATGCACACATGTGTGCCCGTTGTCCAGAGATTCTTTGTTATGCTTGAACCCTGCCCCCCGCACCCCCGCACCCCCTGCACACACGTGCACATGTGCACATACATGTACACACATATACACGTTTGCCAGAGATGCCTTGTTATGCTTGAATCTTGCCCACCGCACCCCCACACGCACACATGTGCACACGTATGTACGCACATGCATACACACACACATGCACATAGGTGCACCTTTGCCAGAGATGCCTTGTGCTTGTACCCTGCCCACTGTACCCCCCACATGCACACATCCATGCACACATATGTACACACATGTGCATACACACATGCACACATATGTGCACATTTGTCAGAGATGCCTTGTTATGCTTGAACCCTGCCCACCGCACCCCCACATGCACACACGTGCACATGCATGTACACACATGCACACATGCACACATATGTGCACGTTGTCCAGAGATGCCTTGTTATGCTTGAACCTTGCCCCTCGCACCCCTGCACACATGTGCACATGTGCACATACATGTACACATATATACACGTTTGCCAGATATGTCTTGTTATGCTTGAATCCTGACCACCACACCCCCCACACGCACACATGTGCACACATATGCACACACATGCATATGCACACATGCACACATATGTGCACATTTGCCAGAGATGCCTCGTTATGCTTGAGTCCTGCCCACCACACCCCTCACATGCACACATCCACGCACATGTGCACACACATGTACACACGTGCATACATGCACATACATGCACACGTGCACGTTTGTCAGAGATGCCTTGTTATGCTTGAACCCTGCCCACCACACTCCCCACACATGCACACAAGCGCACGCTCCTGCACACACGCACACACATATGCACACACACAAACACACACACACACACACACACACACTGCATTCCGTGGGCTGGCTCCCCCTCCCCTGCTCAGTGCTGTGCCTTGCAGGGTTCCTGAGGGGCGGGGAGCTGAGTCTAGGGTGCACCCCCCGGGGTGGGGATGCTCTGCCTCCTGATACCAAGTGCTGTTCAGTGATGCGGTGGGAGGGAGCCGTGGCGGGTGGGGGTAGCAGGGGAAGCTGGGCTGGCTGCAGGGAGCTGGGGGTGCTGCCCGCCCTAGACCGGGTGCTGGGGTGGGGGTAGTTTGGGCACTTCTGGGCACATCCTGTCAGGCGCGTGACCAACTCTCCCGCCCTTGCCCTTGCAGACAAACGGAGCCGGCACCTGGGTGCTGATGGTGTCTACCTGGATGATCTCACCGACATGGACCCGGAAGTGGCCGCACTCTACTTTCCCAAAAAGTACAGTTGTTGCCCTTGGTGCCTCTGGTTCGTGGCTTCCTGTGACCCCCTGCTAGCCCGCGTGGGTGGTCTCACAGGTCTGGGGGGCGGGGGTGGGGTGGGGGTGAGGGGCTTGCCCTTGGCTGTCCCTGCGCCTTGCTGTGTGCCTGCGGCTCTCTGGCTGGGTCCCCTGAGCATCCCCGAGGTGTCACCCCACAGCCACCAGTGCCACCCTCCCTCCCCAGCAGAGGGGCCCTGGGGTGTCGCTGTGGGGGCCACCCTAGGGGAGCAGGGAACTGAGGGCGGAATTTCCTAAGGTGCCTCTTCTCTCTCCTCTCCTCTCCTCTCCTCTCCTCTCCTCTCCTCTCCTCTCCTTCTTCGTCTTTCTTTCTTGTCTTTTTCTTTATTTGTTTCTTTTTCTTTCCTTTTTGTCTCTTTCCTTTTTTCTCTCTCTTTTCTCTCTCCTACAAAGTTCATGTTTATTTTTGACACAAAACATCACCTTAATTTCTTTTATTTTTTAAAAAATTTTATTGAATCACCGTGAGATAGTTACAAGCTTTCATGTTTGAGTTACAATCACACAATGATCAAATACCCGTCCCTCCACCAGTGCACATTCCCCACCACCAGTATCCCTGGTATACCCCCCTACCCCCCCCTTTCCCACCCTCCCCCTGCCTTCATGGCAGACAATATTCCCCATTCTCTCTCTACTTCTACATCACCTTAATTTCTATGTAGAGTAGCTCATGGTAACAAAAATTAACCTGCAGTGAGGAACTCCTTATTTTTATTTAATTGTTTTTCTTTTTTTCAATCAAAGCAGTAACTCATTATAACAAAAATTAACCTGCAGTGAGGAGCTCCTTATTTTATTTTTATTTAATTTTTTTTTTAATTTAAGCGCCATGCATCACAAAGTCATTCATCACTGAGTTTCAGGCATACAGTGATTGAGCGCCCATCCCGCCCCGCTGTCCACTTCCCTCCACCAATGACCCAGTTCCCCCAGCCTGCCTCTATGGCAGTCACTTTTTCAGAGGCGTGTTCCTCCCTCCCTCCCTCCCTCCCTCCCTCCCTCCCTCCCTCCCTCCCTCCCTCCCTCCCTTCCTTCCTTCCTTCCTTCCTTCCTTCCTCCCTCCCTCCCTCCCTCCCTCTTCCCCCCTTCTTCCCTTCCCTCCTTCCCTCCTCCCTTCCTCCCTCCCTCCCTTCCTCTCTTCCTTCTTCCCTTCTCCCTTCCCTCCTTCCCTCCCTCCCTCCTTTCCTCTTTCCTCCCTCCTCCCCTCCTTTCTTCCTCCCTCCCTCCCTCCCTCCCTCCTCCCCCCCCCCCCCCAGTTTTTGGTGTTTGGGCCCCCTCAGCAGTGCTCAGGAGTTCCCCCTCGCCGGGTTTGGGAGCATATGAGGTGCGGGTGATGGAACCTGGGTGGGCCTTAGGCAAGGCAGGCACCCTACCCGCTGTCCGCTGGCTCTGCCCCGACAGGTATGCTGCTTTAGGGGTACCCCGCCCCGCTTGGAGGGCAAGCCTGGCCTGCACTCAGCTGCCCCGTAGGGGGGCTGCGAGGGTCTCCGAGCCTCCCGGGAGGCCCTCAGAACCTCTTCCCCTGTGCCCTCTTCCAGCGGGGACCCCTCCGTGCCGAAGCAGGCCAGCGACAACGGAGCCCGGTCGGCCAACCAGTCCCCGCAGTCCGTGGGCAGCTCGGGCGTGGACAGCGGCGTGGAGAGCACGTCGGACGGCCTGCGGGACTTGCCGTCCATCGCCATCTCCCTCTGCGGGGGTCTCATCGACCACCGGGAGATCACCAAAGGTACGAGCCCCGCGCGCCCTCTGCTGGCCGCCCTGCAGAATGCACGCTGGGGCCGGCGGTTCCCTCCTGTGCCGGTCAGCGCCTCCTGGCGCCCTCCCTGTCCCCCCTTGGCGCCCTCCCTGTCCCTCCTGACGCCAGCCCCTGGGCTGCCGGCTCACGGTTGACGGACCTCAGGGGGGCCCAGCCGGCCGCACATGGCTGCAGGCACTGCCTGCCCGACCACGGGGTCAGGGTCCCGCCTGAGCCGAGCCGGGTGTGTCTCCCGACCCTACCCAGGCTCCTGCACCCGGGAGCGACCACCAGGGGACATGAGGGGACATGCCAGTGCCTGGGGAGAGTGAACCGGCCAGGGCTGGGGTCCTGGAGGAGCGGGGACAGCCCCGCCGCCGGGGGTCTCGGGGTGCTGTGAGGTTTGGCAGAGGCCAGGAGTGAATCTGTGGCTCTGTTCTCTGCAGTGTCTGGCTGCACTTGTGTGGCGAGCCGACCCTGGCCCCAGTGGGTGGTGGGTGCTGATATGGCAACTAAAGAGGGTGGGGGGAACACCTTAGACCCCCATGCCCGTGTATTCTAGAGGGGCAGTCAGGTGGGGTTGTGTGGTTTCTTCGGCACCCTTTTTTTTTTTTTTTGGCTTATTGGTTTACACCCAGCAATGCTTGGGGTTATGCCTGGCAGTGCTTGGGGGAATGCCAGGGGTCGAATCCGGGTCTGCACTATGCAAGGCAACCCCCCTACCCGTTGTACTAAGTCTCCATAACTCTCCAGCCCCATCCTCTGACACTTTTTTTTTTTTTTTTGCTTTTTGGGTCACACCCAGCGATGCTCAGGGGTCACTCCTGGCTCTGCACTCAGGAATTACTCCTGGCGGTGCCTTGGGGGACCATATGGGATGCCAGGGATTGAACCCGGGTCGGCTGCATGCAAGGCAAACGCCCTACCTGCTGTACTATCGCTCTAGCCCCATCCTTTGATGCTCTTGAGGTCCCCTGGCTAGTCGACTCTGATGATCCATTGAAACAGAGCTGATCCATTGACACACCCCCTCCGGGAAGTTCTCCCAGACCACCACCCCTTTCTCTGCCAGCACATTCAGATCTTGACAGCAACCATTCATTGAAAACTGGGCGCGCACGCAGGAATGATTGAAAGCTCTGGGCTGTGTGTTAAAACCCACTTTCTCTCCTGTTCCCTCCCTCCCTCCCTCCCCACTTTCCCAGACGTGTTTCTGGAGCAGGCCGTGTCATATCAACAGTTTGTGGACAACCCGGCGCTCATCGATGACCCCAATCTGGTGGTGAAGATCGGAAATAAGTAAGTGTGTCTCCGAAGTGCTTTGTCCATTGCCTGATACTGTTTGAGGGCCTGAAGTCGGGCAGGGCCGAGACAGCGGGGGGCTCAGGCGTGGAGAAAGACTTGGGTAGAATTCATTTTTATCCATTCAGTGTTGCCAGCATTGCTCTGTCTGGCCCGCTAGTTGGCTGGCTCATGTGTCAGTCTGACTTGTGAATTTCAGGAAATCTCTTTGCTTTGTTAGGTTCTGGGGGCCACATCCGGCTGTGCTTAGGGCTTCCCCCTGGCTCTCAACTCAGGGATCATTCATTCCTTGTGGGTGGGGCTCAGGGTACCATATAGGATGCCAGGAATCTAACCTAGGTCAACCGTGTGCAAGGCAAGTGCCCACCCACTGCAATCTCTCCTAACCCATTTTTTTTTTGTTTTTTGTTTTTTGCGTCACACCTGGTGATGTGCAGGGGATACTCCTGGCTCTGAACTCAGGAGTTACTCCTGGCGGTGCTCAGGGGACCATATGGGATGCTGGGAATCGAACCCGGGTTGGCCGTGTGCAAGGCAAACGCCCTACCCGCTATCCTATCTCTCCAACCCCCTCTCCTAACCCTTTTAAACTTATTATTATTGTTTTTATCGGGGGTGGGCTTGCACCATACCCCACCGCGCTTAGGGATCACTCCTTGTGGTCCTTGGAGGCCCATACGTGGTACCAGGAATCAAATGTGGGTAGTCTGCAGGCAGAGCAAGCTCTTTGTCTGTACTGTTTTTCTGGCTTGTGGATGTTCAAGTTCAGCCATGGGAAATTCTCTCCCTGAAGGTTCCAGAGCCCCGTGTGGCCTGTCTGTGTTCACGGGGGTGACGGGCTAACTATGTGTCTGCCCCTTGAAAACCCTGTGGCCCGAGGATGGGTGGGCGAATGCAGGTGCTGCTGTCGGACATGGACAGGGGCTACTGGGATCTTTTCCCGGAAGTGGCGCCACACCTCTCTGCACACCTGCAGGCACAGGGTGGTTGACGCCCTGTGGGTTTGGGGTGGCACCCAGGGTCACCTGCCGGTCATTTGTGCGTCATGGCAGCTTGGCCCTTTCATGAGAGAGCCGGGAGGGAGCCACTGTGGGCATGGGGTGTGCCGCGGAGGGCTGCGGTGTTGGAAATAGTATCGGACTGTTGAAGGGCCTCTCTCGGAGTCCCAGAACCTTCCACGAGCCCTTGGCATGGTGGGAGCCAGATTCTCCCTCCAGCCTCGCTCTTCTGACTGATGTCTCCCGGGCGTGTCCTCTTAGGTACTACAACTGGAACACGGCGGCGCCCCTGCTGCTGGCTATGCAGGCCTTCCAGAAGCCTCTGCCAAAGGTGAGCTCTCACACGAGAGAGGAAGGGGCGTCACGCATGACGCGTGGGATGGTAGAGGGCGTCCTGCGGGTGTTTAGCTTCTCTTTTGGAGGTGACTGTGTTGTGCTCTCTGAAAGCCCATGATGCGTGTACGTGCGCGCGCGCGCACACACACACACACACACACACACACACACACAGGTCTGACGTTCAGCTGGGGCTGAGGAGGGGAGGCGAGGCAGTGGCAACGTTTGGGGCATTTACCACAGCTGGGGAGTTCAGGGGACTGCTGGAGTGGCCGAGAGATGCTGGGCAGGGCCTGCGCAGCTCTAAGCTGCACCCCCAGTGCAGGGAGTGGTGAGGTGAGGGTAGGCGCCCCTGCAGCCTACTGTGTGCTGTTCTCCCTCCTCCCACAGGGCACTGCCCATGCAGGGTGGAGGGGGTGGAGAAAGGGGTTGTGCCTTCCTGCTCTGGAGGGGCTCCCCTTGCTGTGGGGATTGGACCTTGTCTCACATGGAGCCAGTCCTTTGGGCTACACTGAGTCGTGGCTCTGTTGGTTGAGGTACAGGGAAGTCTCCCTCATCCCAACATCCGTGCTCCTATCAGCCTCTCCTATGTCTCCTATGTGTGCATGTATGTGTGTGTGTGTATGTGTGCATTTGTGTTTATATGTATGCATATGTATGTGTGCATGTGTATATACGTGTGCATGTGTATGCAGCTATGTGTCTGCATGTGTGTACATGTCTATTTACATGCATTTATGTGTATACATGTGTATGGCATGTAGATGTGCCTGCACGTGTGCACATGTATGTGCGGACGTGTTTACATACATGTGTATGTGCATATGTGTTTGAGTCTGCATGTGTGAATACATGTGTATGTTGTGTATGCACATGTGTGTGCATGTCCATGTGAATACATGTATGTAAGTGCATATATGTATGTGTCTGTGCATGTGTGTTTGTGTATGCATGTGTACATGTGTGTCTCTGTGCATGTGCATGTATGTTTGTGTCTGTGCACGTCTATTTGTATACAGGTGTAGGTGTCATGCATATGTACATGTGTCTGTGCGTATGTGTAGATGTGTGTATGAGTCTGTGTGCGTGTGCGTGTGTTTATGTGTATAGAGATCTGGGGACTGTCACCTCATCTTTGTGGGGACTTGTGTGAGTGTTCTTTGTTCATTGGGCTGACAGTATGTTTTCCTCTGTGGGTTTTTGTTCATCCCTGCCCATGCCCCATCCATGGTCCAGGACAAATTTTTAACGTTGCGTGTCTCAGCTCTTAAAAGAAGAAAAGACCAGATTCAATGGGAATAGAATGGAAAGTACTTTGAAGTTCTGAAAAAGATGCTCCTGATCTTAGAGAAGCCCGTCTCTGTGATGGGTATTCTGAGTCCTTTGATAGGGTCAGTAATTTCGGACTCTTAATTTCAAAGCTACGTTTATCCATAGAGTTGGTCAGTCTTAACCTTTTGTGGATACTGGGCTTTGAAATGCTTTTAATGGGCTTTTAAACATTCCAGAGTTGATGAAAATATGCTCCTTTTATTTGCTTCTAATGCTTTCGTAGCTTCTTCTGGGTTTTGTTCTGAGAGTAATGCCCTGAGGTGTCAGGAGCCAAACCTGAGTTTCCCCTGCTGGTTGCTGGACCAGCCAGAATGCGGGGCAGAGAATGGCCATTGCAGCTCATATAGCGAGGCCTTGCCTTCTTTCCTAATGAGAATCTTTGAGGTCGGTTGGTTGAGGCTTGCTCAGGTCGCCTTGGCTTTGCCGTGATGGTCATGAGACCTGCACGTTACTTCCATAGAGCCACGCCTTCCGCAGGAAGGGTAAGAGGCAGGTTCCTCACGGGCCATTGATCACAGTGTGTCACCTGATCACAAACCAGCTGTGGGCAGAGCAGCAGACCTGGGCACTGCTCAGGGATGGCGGTTCAGCCTCCCTTCCCAAAGCCCCTTCCATCCTGCTTCTTGCAGAGAGTTGTGAACCTATTGGCAGCAAAGGAAGGAGAAGGTGTGCAGAGGGACGTGACAGGTTCTGGCGGGGCTGCCTCGTGCCCGGCACTCAAAGGGACAGGGCAGCCACGACTTTATCCTCAGTTCCGTTTCTCTGTGAACTTGGATTTAATCCTGGATGCTGTTTTTTGGTTCCACATATAGATTGGCTCCTGTATCAGCCCCACATTCATTTTATTGAACTGCAGCTTTTAAATACATTTCCTGCGTGTCTGTAGTATGGCTGTGTCTTCTTTGGGTGGGAGGGAGGAATTGGGGCATTCCTGGTGGTGGTGCTGAGGGCCTCTGCTGGTGTTTGGGCTCTCCTGGGCAATACTCAAAGAACCATGCCGTGCTAGAGAGCACATAGGGCTCAGCTGTGTGCATAGTGAGAAGCTTCGCCCTGTGTACTGTCTCTTTTCCCCGGCTGGTGTCTGCCGCTTCCTCCTCTGGGAATTTTCTTGATTAATTTTTGGGCTGGAGCGATAGCACAGCGGGTTAGGACATTTGCCTTGCATGTGGCCGACCCAGGTTTGATTCCTTTGTCCCTCTTGGAGAGCCCAGCAAGCTACTGAGTATCCCGCCCATACGGCAAAGCCTGGCAAACTCCCTGTGGCATATTTGATATGCCAGAAATAGTAACAACAAGTCTCACAATGGAGACGTTACTGGTGCCTGCTCGAGGAGATTGAGGAGGAGGACAGTGTGCTACAGTGCTATTTTTTTTTTTGCTTTTTTTTTTTTTTTTTTTTTACCTTTTGGGTCACACTCGGCAGTGCACAGGGGTTACTCCTGGCTCTTGCACTCAGGAATTACTCCCAGTGGTGCTCAGGGACCATATGCAATGCTGGGAATCGAACCTGGGTCGGCCACGTGCAAGGCAAACCCCTATCCACTCTACTATTGCTCCAGCCCCTTGTTGCTTATTCTTCACCTTGGCTTCAGAGCCATTTTGCACAATTGTAAAATTGGTCCCATTTCCTCCTTCTCCCTCTCCTTAAATTGTATTTTTGTTACTTTAGATAAGTTTGGGGAGGAATCCAGTGAGGGGTGTCTCTGTGGACCATCCCGTTGATGAAGAGGTTGTGTGTCGTTTCCACTGGAGCAAAATCAAGCTCTGTGTTGTGCCAGGCAGGGAGGGTGTTAAATGACCAATGGGAGCCTGTTTCAGGCTCACTACAAGATGATTTGTTTCTGCTTATATGCACCTGTGTGGTTAGCAGATTTCTTTTTCTCTGTTTCTCGCTGAGAGGTCAGCTGTGAGATAGTTGGTAAACTGAGGAAACAGATAATCCCATGGTAATGGAAGTAGCCTCGAGAGACAGACGGGCCATTCTTTGGAAATACCTCGAAATGTGTTATTCCTCAGCATTTGTCCTAACATTCATTCATTTCAGGCAAGAAAGTAGAATTTTCTTTTTAAAACTTGTCATCGTAAATCAGACACATCAATTCATGTCCAGTTTGTCACCATTTGGCAGTTTACTAAAAAAAGATCTTGTGCATTTTCACCTTTGTTTAAGACTGTAATGCCCCATGTTAATGATTTCATTTCTTTAATTTTGTAGTCATCGTGTTGAGAGTAACAATATCTTAACCCGTAAGCCACTTTAATTTGAAAACTTCCGGTCTTCCTAATCACTAATGATTTTCCATGCTTTCTTTCTTTTGTTGTTGTTGTGTTGTATTCTTCTTTGTTTATTCCTTTGACACCTTCTTAAGTCTTCATGCTTAAGTTACCTTACTGTAATTTTGGATGCCATTAGGTTTTGCTTCTCCAAAATTTTTAATTCACAAGTAGTACGTTGTGTTTTCCCTCTGTTTCGTTTTCTTTTCTTTTCCTTCTTTTTCTTTTTGCCGTACTTTCATTTGCACGTGTGCTTCTTTTAGTTTTGAATGTGCTAAGTTGATTATTTTTTTTTTTTTGGTTCCATTATTTATGTTACCATCCATTTAAAACAGGCCACTGTGGAATCTATCATGAGGGATAAGATGCCCAAAAAGGGAGGAAGATGGTGGTTTTCATGGAGGGGAAGAAACACGACAGTCAAAGAGGTGAGTGTGGAAACTCGAGAGGGAAGCTTCCTGCCACCGAGCTGGGATTCCTGCTCTTCACATCCGGGAGAGCAGCGTGAGCCGTTGTTCTGGGTGGCAGCCAGCTCTGAGCAGGGCAGATAGGAGAGTCATGGGGACTGCTGAGTTGGGGCAGTTGGGTGGGGGTGGGGTTCAGGAGTGAGCAGTGCTGGGCTTGCCTCCTGACTCTGGGACCTCATGATGGCCAGAGCAAGTCCCTTCTGGAATATGCTTCTCCATCTGTAAAAGAAAGAGGATTCAGCCTCCCAGTTTAAAAATTAGGGGCTTGGCTAGAGAGATAACACAGCGGGTAGGGCGTTTGCCTTGCACGCAGCCGACCCGGGTTCGATTCCCAGCATCCCATATGGTCCCCTGAGCACCGTCAGGAGTAACTCCTGAGTGCAGAGCCAGGAGTAACCCCTGTGCATCGCCAGGTGTGACCCAAAAAGCAAAAAAAAAAAAAAATTAGGGGCTGGAGCAATAGCACAGCAGGTAGGGCATTTGCCTTCCACACGGCTGACCCGGGTTTGATTCCCAGCATCCCATATGGTACCCAGAGCACTGCCAGGAGTAATTCCTGAGTGCATAAGCCAGGAGTAACCCCTGTGCATCACTGGGTGTGACCCCCCTCCAAAAAAAAAAAGATTATTCTTGTTAGTGTGTGTTGGTGTGTGAGGTTGCAGATAATAGGCTCAAACGACCAAGCTACCTGGATCGCTCTGGGCATGGGTGGGATGTGGGAGATTGGAACTTGGAACCACGTACTTGTCAGGGTGCAAGGGATGCTGTGAGCCATGGCACGCTTTCTCCAGGCCTTAATTACTGAGCAGTGGGTGTTTGTGGTTTAGGGCCACACCCAGCGGTTCTCGGGGGCTACTCCCAGCTCTGAGCTTGTTTCGCCTCCATGTCTTTGGGGGATCATATGGTGTCAGGTACTAGACCAGACTTTACTACATACAAGGCAGTGCCTGCCTGCTCTACTCTGTAGCTAAGTCTCTTCAGCTGGATTATCGCTATTTTTATTAATTTTTTTTTGGGTGATAGTCCAGAGGTTACTCCTGGCTCTGTATTCAGAAATTACTCCTGGGTGTTGCTCTAGGGACCATATGGGGTGCTGGAGATTGAGCCTGGGCCAGCTATGTGCAAAGCAAGTGCCCTATCCACTGTGCTATCACTCTGGCCTTGTATTATTATTCTTTTTTCTTTTTTTTTCTTTTTGGGTCACACCTGGTGATGCACAGAGGTTACTCCTGGCTCTGCACTCAGGAATTACTTCTGGCGGTGCTCGGGGGACCGTATGGGATACTGGGAATTGAACCTAGGTTAGCCGCGTGCAAGGCAGATGCCCTACCCGCTGTGCTATCACTCCAGCCCCTAATTATTATTTTTTTTAATGAAGCAAAATGGTTTTTTAGGAAATAGAGGGAGGGAGAGAGAGAGAGAGAGACAGAGAGACAGAGACAGAGACAGAGAGAGACAGAGACAGAGAGACAGAGACAGAGAGAGACAGAGAAAAAAAGAATAACATATTCAGGATAGACTATGAGAGAGAGAGAGAGTAAGGATACTGGCTTTATTATTATTATTGTTTTTTTTTTTAAATAAAGTTCAGTGTTTTCCCACTGCTTTTGAGGACAGTTTTAATAGGTTAGATAAAGAGTTGCAGACACACAATTGTCACTTATCTGGCAAGACTAAATACATTTAGGGGAAGGAGAGATAGTACAGTGGGTAGAGCGCTTGCTTTGCCCTAAGCCGGCCTGGGCTGGATCCCTGGTACCCCTATGTGGTCCCCTGGGCACCACCAGGAGTAAACCCCTGAGCAGGGCCAGTTGTGTCCCCAAGACAAAAACAAACAAACGAAAAAATAAAAATAATAAAAAAGATTACAAACAAACGAAATAAAAAAATATTACAAACAAACGAAAAATAAAAATAATAAAAAAATAATAAAAAAGATGCAAACAGACCTGGCTTTGCTTTCCCTTTCTGGGGTGGCCAGTCGGTCTCTATTGACGCTCCCCCTTCCACCCTCCAGATCCGAGCCCGCCTCCCAATCTGTTCTTCAGAGCACGTCCAGCTGCCATGGCCCCTTGGCCGGCCCCCTTGGGCTGGTCTTCCTCTGAGCTCGGACTCTCCATGAGGGGGTAGCCGAGGGCAGTGGTTGGACTGTCCCTGGGCCCTGCCTGACCCCCTGCCTGGACCCCAGCAGCCTCCCCTGCATCCTCGAGGTGCTGCCTTTTTATTTTCAGACCTGGCGCCCCAGTGGGCTGCGGGCCCCTGGGTTGAGAGACCTGGTCAGCGGGCGGCCCACCACAGCTGCTTCCACGGGGGGTGGGGGTGGGGGACCCAGGCAGCTTCCTGGGGGTTCAGCCTTTATGGGGTCAGACCCAGTGGCTGGACTCAGCCTCACACCCACTGCTCCCCACCTAGTTGCAACCTTCCCTGACTCCTTTCCTTCCTTCTCTGCACTGCCCCACGCGTGGGTCTGTTGAGAATCTCTGTTCCGGTTTCACGACTCCCTGCTTCACCCTTTTAGGGGGCTTCCGGGGTCCTGAGAGTGAAGACCAGCCTCCTTAGCGTGGTCTCTAGGACTTGGTCGGCGCCTCAGCCCCGCCACCTAATTAACTGGTATCTCACGTGGCCCTTTTTTGGCAGGTGAGTCCGCATAGCTGCTGTGCACGGCTCTCGTCCCCCGAGAGCTTCTCTCGTATCCGTGGTGTGGCCAACGTACACTGATTAGTGTTGCCACCTGGCTCGTTCCTATCTCTGTCCCCCGCCCCTCCCCCCCCCCGCCCCTTGCAGGCCCCAAATAGGCCTTCAGGTCCCGTGGTTTTCCAGTGCCCATGTTGGAGCCAGGGTGGAGACAGAGGGATGGTTCCAGTTGTAGCGGGAAGAAACCCTCGGGGCAGGAGTCAGGTTGGTCATTAGAACCGGGACCACCCCCCCACCCCCCTCACTGACCCAGGCTGGCGGTCTAGTTTTCAGGCCCATCTGCGACAACACAGTGGTTGGGGCTTGCAATGTCAGGGTCATCTGGGGATCTGACTCGGGGCGTGGAGTACACAGCGTGTATTCTCATCCCTGGACTATCTCTCTGCCTTCAACCCCCACCACCCCCACCTCCATGCCTGAGTTTTGTCAGTTGTCCTACTATCTCCAAAGAGGGTATCAGCAAGTCAGAACAACAAGCACATGTAGCTAAGTCTCTTCAGCATTCAGTATTGTTATTATTGTTATTATTAGGATTTTTTTTTTGGGTGATGGTCAGAGGTTACTCCTGGCTCTGCATTCAGAAATTGCTCCTGGTGGTGCTCTGGGGACCTCATGGGGTGCCTGGGATTGAGCCTGGGGCCCGCTGTGTGCAAGGCAAGTGCCCTACCCACTGTACGATCACTCTGGCCATGTATTATTATTACTAGTACACCTCACTCTGGGAGACTCAGGGCCGAAGTCTCGTCCCTGCTTCAAGGACAGGAGGTTCCAGAACTTAAGGCAGGCGGTAATTTCAAGGACGCATTTGTTGTAGAGGAGGCCGATTCCATCCAGATTCCCATCCGCTTGAAGGGGTTCAGGGAGTGACCGCATGAACTGAGGGAGAGTGAGGAAACGAAGGTCTTCCCAACAGACACTGCAGCCGGATGCAAACTTTTGAGCTCATCTCATAGTCCCTCACAAATAGCGGTGGCTAAGTTACCTGTCCGAATCAAAAAGGTTGAGTATCACCTGCTACTTTAGGTCAGTTCTTGGCAAGCTGTTGTAAGGAGGTAAGGAATGTTGGAAAAAACCATTGGAGATGCCCCCAAGTGCTCACCTGGGTGGCTGACTTTTCTTTATTTACGTGCAGTAGTGGGGACCTTTTGCCTAGCTCCTTCCTCGATGCCCAACACAAAATGGACCTCTTTGGAAATGCTCAGCCCTGTGACAGGGCTGTCTGGCCCTAGTGACCGATGGTAAATGCTGGGATTGTAGGTGGCTGTGCCCTACCCAATGCTGGCTGTGTGAAGACAGTTTCTGCAAATCTTCAGAAGGGCCAAGCAGGACCTGGGTTCTGAGGGTGGGGGAGGTCTGTGACTGGGCCCTGAGTTCTGGAGCCCCAAATCTCTAGAATCCCCCAAAACTCCTTCCTTCCATGCATCAAAGGAGCAAAAGATTTTCTGTGGAGATGGTGCGGCATTTGAAGAAGGAGGGAAGGCTTCCACATTTTATTTTTCTTTTTCCCCCCAAGCAAAATATGGTGTGAAAATATTTTCAGGCATTTCTATCAGCAATTATAAGAAAATATTTTGAAAGCCCTCGGGTATCCAGGCAGCGCTGATAAAGCATTAGCATAAGCTCCACGGATGAGGGGCTTTGGTTGGCTGCCAGAAACACTTAAGGAAAAACAGACGCGATTCTTTCAAGTACATGTCTCAGCTTCCCCCGGGTGTGTCTGAGCCAAGGGGTGGCAGGAACCTGCCTCCCACCCCGGGGCAGGGGAGGGCCTCGTGGGGGAGGGAGGGTGGTCCTCCCTCCCCCTCGTGGAGGACCCTGCCGAAGAGAGAGCCTTTCTCCTGTGTCTCCCGGTGACACCCTCGCCGCTTCTTTTCCAGGAGAGTAACCCTGAGCAGGGTCTGAGCGGGAAGAGCCGCAGTACTGGGGAGCAGCCCTCGCAGCTCGGCTTGGCCACCAGGTACCGTGTGTGCGTCATCTGAGTGAGTGTCTGTGGCCGCCCAGGGCCGTGGCTCGGGGATGGGATCCCCACCCCTGCACAGTGCAGGCCTTGGACCCCTGGCAGGGGGTTGGGGGTGGGGAAGGGGACCCACGGGTCTCATTCTGCTCCATCTGTGATGTGGTCTTGGAGCTGTACCCGTTCACCCAGTTGCGGTGGTGACTCCTCCGTGGCCGGAAGTGCCACGTGAACCTTCAGGCTTCCATGCTGGTGATGGAGCCGGAGTGTGTGTCTCAGGGAGAGGCCCAGGACAGCCCCGGCAGCTGGCAGCCACAGTGGCTAGGCTGTCTGGAGCAGTGATGACTACATGTACTGCTCACAGTGTCTCACCCATCGGTAGTGGGTGTGTGCGGTGGGGGACCCCAGGCTTGGTGTGTGCTGGGTTCTGTCATGCTTGTGTGCTCCTACCCCAGGACATTTGCACAAGGATGTTCTTGGTAATTACTATCATCGTAGCCAGGATAATTAATAACGATAATAATGATAGGTAGCATTAGTGTTCCTGCCATTAGTGAAATATTCATGGTCTTCGTGTCTATTCGCCTCACTGAACAGTCAACAGTGACCGGGTTAGAACTTTGCCTTGTGAAGGAATTGGCCTTTCTCTGGAGTTTTGAGGACTGGCCAGTACTTCAGTCAGTGCTTTTCCTGGTGAAGCATGCACATTATTTTGGCGTAAAAGACACCAGATTTGATATTACCGTACGTGTTTGTAGTGCCTGGCTCCGGGTTGGCCTGTGTGATGTGTGTGTGTGTGTGTGGGGGGGGGTGGGGGGGGGGTTGTTGCAGGCTTCTGTGCTGTGAGGCAGTGCCCTCTAATTTGATTGCCACTGTTGCCCTTTGACACAGAATGAGGCGCGGAATGTATTAAGGCGGCACCTTTCACACGGTGTTTCCCGCTCCCAGGGGCATTTATTTCTTAGAAGGCAGAAGGCGCTAACACATTCACTGTTAATCACAGTTGCATCCGGGAGTGGGGGGAAGGGGGCAGACCAGCACGACATGAGCTCCCAGCCGGCCTTTCTACAGTGAAATGCATCGCTGAGTGTGTTCCTCAGGCCTGTGAGATTTTCCCCGGTATAACATGACTCCATCCGTGAGGCCCCTGGGCTCTTGGCTGTGGCCTATGTCTTAAACTATTTTGTTTCTAGAGTCCTGGGCCGACAGAGCAATGCTTGTCAAGGGCAGGTGGGTGAATGGATTTCTTTTTTTTTTTTTTTCCCGCTTTTTGGGTCACACCCGGCAATGCACAGGGGTTACTCCTGGCTCTGCACTCAGGAGTTACTCCTGGCGGTGCTCAGCGGGGATCATATGGGATGCTGGGAATCGAACCTGGGTCAGCCGCATGCAAGGCAAAAGCCCTACCCACTGTGCCACGACCGGATTTCTTGATGGCCTCTGTGGGGAGGAGCGTGAGGGTGGGCGCATGTTCCTTTGAGGATAACACTAGGAAATCTGAATGTCTCGGCCAGCTCCGGGCCGGGATGGCATCGGAGGGACTCGGTTTCTGCCTCTCCTTGGCGCCGTCATGACATTGCTTTGTCTCCCCCCGCCCCCTCGACCCCACCAAGCTGCGTGCGAGGGCCTGGGTGAACGGTCTGTGGTTCCTCTGCGTTTGACACCAGCGGCCTCTGCTCACTCGGGGGCCCTGGCCTTGGCACCAGGTTCCTCTGCACGCCTTCCCCACCTGCAGTTCCAGGCTTGCCTTGGGGTGCTCTTGGAAGGAAGAGGCCGGTAGGCCTGACTGTCACCACACAGGAATCTGCTGGTGATGGTAAGGAGAGAAGAGGTGACTGGACAGAGGCCCACGGAGTCCTAGTAGCGCCTCGTGAGATGCCTCAAGGAATAGGTGTGAGGACTGGTTGAGGGGGAGGGGTTGGTAGCGGCTGAACTGGGGATAGGAGCAGAGGTGCAGCCCATCTGCCCTCATCTGTTGTCCTGCCCTCCTGGAATTCTTTTTTCTTTTTTCCCCCAAATTTTTTGTTAGTGAATCACCATGAGGTATAGTTACAAGCTTACAATCTTTGGTGCTTGCATTTCAGTCATACAGTGATTGAGTACCCATCCCAGTGTCCATTTCCCACCACCAATGGTCCCAGCATCCCTTCCACCACTCCCACCCTGTTGCCTCCACCCTACCCAGCTTCTGTGGCAGGGCATTCTCTCTCTCTCTCTCTCTCTCTTTCTCTCTCTCTCTCTCTGTCTCTGGGTGTTGTGGTTTGCAATAGAGGTATTGAGTTTCCATCATGTTTGGTCTATAGTCTACTTTCAGTTCCTCCTAGCACCCTTTACTTGCTTTACTTGGTGGTCCCTTCTCTCTCTGAGCTGCCTTTTCCCCCAGCATGTGAGGCCAGCTTCTAAGCTGTGGAGTGATTCTTCTGGTACTTATTTCTTCTACTATTCTTGGATGTTAGTCTCTCATACTGTTACTTTATATTCCACAAATGAGTGCAATTTTTCTATGTCTGTCTCTCTCTTTTTGACTCATTTCCTCTAACATGATACTCTCCATGTTGATCCACCTATATGAAAATTTCATGACTTCATCTTTTCTAATAGCTGCATAGTATTCCATTGTGGAGATGTACCAAAGTTTCTTTAACTAGTCATCTGTTCTTGGGCACTCGGGTTTTTTCCAGATTCTGGCTATTGTAAAGAGTGCTGCAGTAAACATACAGGTGCAGATGTCATTTCGACTATACTCTTTTGCCTCTCCAGGATATATTCCCAGAAGTAGTATTGCTGGGTCAAATGGGAGCTCAATTTCTAATTTTTTGAGAAGCGTCCAATCTGTTTTCCAAAAGGGCTAAACCAGTCGGCATTCCCACCAGCAGTGAAGGAGAGTTCCTTCCTCCTGGAATTCTTTCTGAGAAACCCACTGCGATGTGAGAGCGGATACTCTGTGTGACCTTGGAAGGAAGGTCACTTGCCACCGTGTCTCTCGTGAGAAGACGCATGTGTGCGGGAATATCTTGTTCAATCCGCCCTTGCTGCAGCTCCTTTCAGGAGGATGGGTCAGCCCCAAGCTGATGCCCGGGCCCATGGTCGGCAGTGTCAGTACGGCAGCAGTTGGTGGACGGTTCCAGGGCACCCTGAGCCCATAGTGGCTGGACAAGTCCCAGATGTCTCAGGTGACTGGACACCACCCGCTGCCAGTGCTGTCAAGGCTGGCATGGGTACAGAACTGGACAGAGTCACCTCGTGGAAAACTTCAGGGGTTTGTGGAGGGCCCCTAGCATACAGGTGCTCTTGTGTCCCTGCAAATGTTCTTCTGCTGTCCAGTAAGTGGGACCACTGGGACGGCCTGGGTAGCAGTTCTCGCCTTCTGGGATGCAGCGCACACGTGTGCAGGGCGGACCAGAACCGTTCCAGACTTCCTGACTCTGATGCAGTCCGACATGTGCTAGGAAAGCCCTCTCCTCATCCTCCTGAGCAGCCGAGGCCCAGCCTTTACGTTAGTCATGCTCCCTTGCCTCCTTATTTGACCCAGAGTGGGAGAAAAAAGAAAAAAAACAACCCGCAAGCATGGACCCTGGTGAAAAGGAAATGAGATGCTGAAAACTTATTAATGAAGTGAGATTGTGAAAATGATTTGAAAATCTCTCTCTCTCTCTTTGGAGAAATGCAAATCTTTCCGTCTTTGCTGGCGTCTTAGAGTGTGGGTCTCCTAATTAGAGTCACACCGTTGCCTGAAGAAGAAAAAAAGGTGTTGGAGTGCTTGCCTAATTGCCACACTTGATTGACAGGCCGGTCTCTGCCGTCGTGTAATTGAGCAAACAGCTTGTCACCACACAAATCATTCAAGCCCCATTTGAAAAGTGTACACTGTGACTGGCGCTGACTTCCGTGTTGTTCGCAGCTATGCGGCTCGGCGCAGACTTTCAAATGAGACCAGCCTCCTGGTTCGCGTCCCTCTTGCAGATGCCGGGAAGTGAGCAGCGTTAATGGGCAGTTGGAAGCCTGGGGTGGGGCGAAGGGGTAAACCCCCTCCCAGGGACCGTGGGCTGGTTCTGAGCTGGAACTTCTAGCCTTGGGCTCTGCAGAAACTCCCGTTTCTGTGTTTAGCTTTCTGGTCTCCCTCAGACACGCAATACTGCCCAGATAATGCCTAAGTCTGCGTGGACGTACAGTAGCAGACGGGGGCTGGAGAGGGTCCAAACCTGCCTGCAGGAGGCCAAGTTGGATCGCTGACACTATATGTGACCCCCCCACCTCCGCCTCTTTCCCAGCACCACTAGAAAGAGCCCCTGGGAGCAGCAAGCCGGAAGTAGCCTCTGAGCAATCCCCTGAACCAAAAACCAAATTGAAAAAAAGTAAAACAAAATAAAACACAAACAAAAACAAACCCCCCAAAACAACAATGCAGCAGCAGATGGAAAGGGCTGCCCCGCCTGACCTCCGCATCCAGCCCGTGGAGGCATAGATCAGTCTGATGTCACTCAGAGCTCCCGTTTGCGTTTGGATCTCATTTCATTCCACAGTGTCTGGCTAGGTCGGAAAACTTCTGGGGTTTGTGGAGGGCCCCTGGCCTCGTCGCCTGCGTTCTCATCCAGAGGACAGCCAGGCTGGAAAGGCTCCAGGCCTCGACTGGCTGGTGTGACAAGCCAGCACCGTTCTGTTGGCTCTGCCGGGCACACACCCGGATGGAAGCTCCTTGCTTCCCCTGGTGCCAGGGGTCAGCCCCCGGCTTCATATCAGCAAGGCTTGCGCCTCCTGTCTGAACCAGGCCCAGGCGCCGGAGGGCACTTTAGCTGGAGCATGGCCTTCTGCAGAGGAGCGACTGGGGCCGTGAGAGGAATTCTGGAGCTCACAGGTGTTCTGGACTCCTGGCTCCCACTGGGTTTTTTCCACCCATTGTCCCATCCCTTGTCCCATCATAGCTTCACATGCCGCGGCAGGGAGAGGGGTGATGTGGTGATGCAGTCTCTTCATCTGCGGTTTTATTTATTGCAAATTTTATGCATTTAATTTTCATAAAGTAGTTCATAATAGTTCATTACAGATAATATTCAAACACCCACCCAACCAGCAAGCATCTTCCGACCACAGTAGGAGGAAGTGTGTGAAGGTTGTTGATTTCATTCTGGGGCCCTTTAAGCCTGTACATAAGAGAATACAAGCAACTATGTTAAAACCAGACACATGTGTGCTATTTTCGGCACATCAGTGGGCTAGACTATAAGAGGTCCTGTGGCCGCGTATGTGGCTGCGTGCTCCAGGAAAAACTGTTGGTCTTCCGGGAGCTTTGTTTTAGAGTCTCTGTATCTTGGCCATTGATGAGATTACATGGTGCCGGGGGGGGTGGGGGCAGTTTGTGGGTGTGACTGCCAAGCTACTGGAAAACTGGGGAGCTGGGGGGAGGAGGCCCAGTCCCGATCTGAGCAGGCTTGGAGATCTCAGTCACGGGTCCCGCATACCTGGGTTCCTCTGCCGGTTCCTTCATGCGTGAGGCTCATCTGAACATGTGGAGCTTGAGCGTGGCTGTGGCTGGGTTCTGGAGATTTTCGGCCACCGGGGTTCTGCTTGGGGTGGGGAGGGAAACTCAACCGGCTCCCCTCTGAGGGGGCCCTGGTGAAGACAGCCTGGTGCAGGGGCAGGAGATTCTGTCCATCTGTAGTTTTAATATAAAGTGATATTTAACGAAGTAATAGGTCTAAACTCAACTTTCTGCTGGGTTCAAACCTGGATTTCTCCAGGTCTGTCTGTTGTGCCATCTCCCCCTAGAATGGGCACACCCTATCCCCCGCTGCCCAGGGCAGGTGATCATGGCATGGGGGCGGGGGGGGGGGGCAGATTTTAATTGAGGAAAACAACAAACTAGTGATAATGCTTTATGTGATTTAGAGAAAGCAAACCGGTTTCCACCCCCACCTTGCAGCTCCCCAGCCAAAGAAAAAGTCTGGGCGAGATTGGGCCATTGGCCTTTAGAGCCGGTGCAGCCCTTGCTCTTGCACCAGCTTGCTTCGGGGTGCTGGGGGCGTATTGGGGTGTCTTTCCTGACTTCACTGAGAGGGTCTGGAGAGTCCTAATTGTTTGGCATTGTGCTTCTGAAGGGGCCTATACACTCAGTTAGGACGGAGGGGCCGTGGGCTCTTATTCTTGGCCTTCGGCCTCTAAGGGGATGAGGAGAGCATCTCGGTCAAGGACGGGGTTTGACCCTGCTCGCCAGGATGGAGGCAACTCTTGGCGTAAGGCGGAGGGAGTCTGGCTCTGGGCGCACGGGCAAGTGAATGAGGACAGGCAGCCCCGGATGAATAATGCAGCAGCCGCGTGAATGGGAGTTCAGTGAGTTCATTGACAGATGTAACGGATATGGTGCAGGACCACCCGAGAGGCAGCGCTCAGGGGAGACCCCATCGACTACATCATTGATTCGGGGCTAATGCATTTTTAATGGCTGCCCAGATGCATTTCCTAATTGGCGATTACATCACCGTGTGTTCCAGAATCAAGCATGAATCATCCTCCAGTGATGAAGAGCACGCAGCTGCCAAGCCACCCAGCGCCGGCCACCTCCCCCTCGTGTCCAATGTCGGCTACAAAAAGACCCTCCGGCTCACTTCAGAGCAGCTGGTGAGTTTCTTCCCTTGTTGTGTCGTGGGCACGGGCTCTCCGAGGCTGCCCAGGTGTCCCTGCTGGTCTCTGAAGTCCCCTTTGTACTTCCTGGTACCTTTCCTATTCCAGGAGTCCCTGTGGCTACTTCCCGGCCTTCCCCTCTGTCCCCTGTGTGCATACCCACCTGGGGTTGAACTTCACTTCCTGTTTGTCACCTGGAAGCAACTCTGGTCCCCTCAAGTGCTGGGGAGGCAGCCTGTTGGGGAGCTAATTCATCCCGATGGCCCCAAAATCTTTTTTTATTTTATTTTATTTATTTTTTATTAGTGAAACTCCATGTGGTACAGTTATTGACCTTACAAATTTTTGTGCTTGGGTTTCAGTTATACAATGATTGAGTACCCATCCCTCCACTGGTGCCCATTCCCCACCTCCAATGCTCCCAACATCCCTCCTACCCCTCCCACCCCCCAATCCCACCCCACCCCTGTGGCAGGGCATTCCCTTTTGTTTTCTCTCTTCTTTTGGGTGCTGTGGTTTGCAAATGAGGCATTGAGTGCCTACATTTTTTTTTTAATTATTTTATTGAGTCACCGTGAGGTACAGTTACAAAGCTTTCATGTTTGAGATTCAGCCATACAGTGATTGAAAACTCATCCTTCACCAGTGCACATTTTCCACCACCAATGTCTCCAGTATCCCCCACCCCCCCCAATCCCAGTCCTCACCCTGCCTCTATAGCAGACAGTTTTTCCCCAATACTCTCTACTTTTGGGCATTATGTTTTTCCCGAATTTTCCCACCACCATTCAAACCTGCCTGCCAGGAGCAGACGCTAGATCACTTATTATCCATTGCTCATTTTGAATATCATAAGAGTTTGCATTGCTGCTTTGTGGCCGTGCACTTCTGGGATCCTAGGTTGTAGACGGTTGGGTTCCAGAGACATCTCTGTAAGGCTCTAATCTATTTTGGGACTCAGTTGGGAGTCTCTGGATCAGAGCTATTGTGCACCAAGATGGTGCCCGGCAGAAGCTTGTGGGCATGACAGCCAGCTAGGCCACAGAACAGGCGGAGAACTGGGGAGGGACGCCCTGGGGCCTCTGCTGCCATGCAGCCTGGAGATTCAGTCCTGGTACCCGCATACCTGGGGCCTTACTTGTGGAAGCTCTTGGACGCCGAAATTCCATCTCGAGTAGGTGGGGAGCCAGCACCTGTTCCATCTGGGGTGCTCCGGCGAAATTAGCTTGGTATGAGGCCCAGAGGGATCTCTGGTGCTGTGGTGCCGTCTGGGTGGGACTGGTTGTTGCGTCTCTGGATCAGGGCTTTTGGCCCCAAATCTTGCAGAGTATGAGAGATGTTGGTTGACTCAGATGTCTCTCCTGAGTGGGGGGGGGGGGAGGGGGGCAGGGGACAGGGGCAACCACGCCCCAAGCCCTTGTGATCAACCAGGTTGGTGTTTTGCCTTTTGTTTTTGATGCCTGGGGCTGTGGCGACTCCGTCTGGGTTTCTTCCTGCAGAGCCCGCAACTCCAGCCTCTCTCTTTGGGCCTGGAGGACCAACCTGGATCAGGCCCTTTCACTCTGAATCCTCGCTGTTAGCAGACTGTGATCAAAGCTGCTCTTTGGTTTTTGTCTTGTACCAAGTGGGTACCAGACTTCGCTGTGCTTGGCTTTTATTTAGTTAGTTAGTTTTTGGGCCACACTTGGCGATGCCCAGGGGTTCCTCCCGGCTCTGCACTCACGAATTACTTCTGATGGTGCTTGCGGGACCATTTGGGGCACGGGATTGAATCCGGGTTGGCCCCATGCAGGGCAAATGCCTTCCCTGCTGTCCTCTCACTTGGGCCCAGCTGTGCTCTGGCCTTTGATGGGAAAGGTAACAGAGGGCTGCAGTTACCTGTTTTAGTCCAGGAGCTGCAAAGTGTCTCGGAACACAGAGCTACACAGAAGGGAGAGGGGGACCCCAAGTCAGGCAGCCTCTAGGCCTGCATTGGAGAGTCCTGACTGAGAGATTAAAGTCTACCAAAAACAAATTTGGCTCTCTGCGTGTTTTTGCATTTGGGGGCATCAAAACGTGTGCCTCGATGGGGTCTGCCATGTGTCCGAGAACTGACCTCTCACCCACCCCTGTTTGGGGGGACTCTGCTCCCTTGGACATCAGTCAGACCCCCTGGTATGTCCCTTCATCTCTGGTCGTGCATCAGTGACATGTCCTGTTTTGGAGCTGTGATTTCTTAGAACCGAGCCCATAACCGGTTTTTGGTTTTGATTTTTGATTTGGGGGCCACTCTTGGCTGTGCACTCAGGGATCACGCTTGGTGGGGCGTTAGGGGGATCATGTGGGGTGCCGGGGCCCTAACCCAAGTTGCCCATGTGCAAGGCCAGTGCCCTACCCCACTGTACCCTCCCTCTGACCTGCTAATAAATGTTTGAGCCATGTTTGAGCCCCGGCTAATAAGTGCCTCCAGAAAGAGCAAGGCAAGCCTACCCCTGACGAGTGAGTGCCCTGCAAAGTCTGCTGAGCTGCCTTCCAGGGAGGTGGGGGAGGGTCTGTGGGGGGTGAGGTTCCCCATCCGTAGGAAGAACCCCTCTCCACTAGAGCAAACACCTGGTACTGGAGCTAGGGCCACAGATGGTATTGGAAAAAAAAAAATCTGGTGAAATACCACAATCTCCACAGTTTCCTTTAAGGAAACTTTTTTGTAGCATTTTCAGAGGTTTTTCATAACAAACAGTATAAAATATATTATTTCAGTTTTGCTTTGAGGCAGGGGTTGGGATTTGGGATGGAAACATCTGAAATATGGTGGTGGGAAGGGGTAATGTTGGTGGGATTGGTGTCTGAATATTACATGTCATCAAATATTGTGAACTACTTTGTGAAATAAATTAAAAAAAAAAGAGGTACAATCATCCAGACACAAAGTAAACATGCCTAAGAAATATCATGTACCACCTTCATGTACCACCTGGCACTATAATCACTGCGATACGAAAAATTTGTAATTTTCTAAAAAAAAAGTGATGTGTTTTTTGATAATCATTGTACAACGTATATAAATTTGTATACATGAATCTAAAATAACGTATGACTTATACTTCAGCGGGAAAGAAAAGAACCATTACCAAGGGTTTTCAAAGGTAGTGTGGTTAATATGAATAATTAAATAACTGCATACTTAGGCCACTTTTCCCCTCAACAGTCAAAAATCAAATCAAACAAATGAAAGTCTTTGATTTAAAAAAAATATCTAGGGGACTGGAGAGAGAGCACAGTGGGTTTGCCTTGCACGCGGCCGACCTGGGTTCGATTCCCAGCATCCCATATGGTCCCCTGAGCACCGCCAAGAGTAATTCCTGAGTGCAGAGCCAGGTGTAACCCCTGTGCATCACCAGGTGTGACCCAAAAGGAAAAAAAAATCTACCAAGTGAAGTACAAAAACATACCAAAAAAAATACCCTCATCCATGGGGCTGGAGATATAGTACAGCAGGTCAAGTGCTTACCTTGAACACAGCTGATCCCACTTCAATCCCTGGCACCCAGGTGGTCTCCTCAGCACCCCCAAGGGAGTGATCCCTGAGCACAGAGCCAGGAGTAAGCCTTGAGCTCTGTCAGGTGTGACTCAACATTCTGTTTCCTTGACCCCACTTCTCCCCACCAAAAAAAAAAAAAATCCTCATTTACCCCACCAGGGACTAGCACAGCTGTTCCTCCCCCTGGGCAGCCACACGTGTTGTGTTTTCCAGAAAAGCTTGAAGCTGAAGAACGGCCCGAACTCTGTGATCTTCAGCGTCACCACGCAGTACCAGGGCACATGTCGCTGTGAGGGCACCATCTACCTGTGGAACTGGGATGATAAAGTTGTCATCTCAGACATCGATGGCACCATCACCAGGTAGGCCTGCCCCATAGCCCCACGCGGACCCTTGGCCCACTCCTCAGGCCTGTTGTGCTTGGGGGAGAGGGGTCTTTGCCCCCACGATGAGGCCTTGGTGCTGTTTTTCCATTGGGGTGTCACTCTCCCGGGGTACTGCCTGTCCTTGGGGATGACACCTCCTTTCTGCAGAACTTTCTTTTAGCAAGGAAAGGCTTTGGTAGGTGTCCTCTGGCTCGTTAACATATTCCTCCTGGGGCATTTTTCTCGATTTTATTCTTACTATCTAGAAAGTAGATTAAGGGTCTTGTTTGCATTTATTTTTTGGGGGTGGCATTGATGGTGCCATGAATTGCGGAGAATGGTGTTTCTTTCTCTCTAGACTTTCCACATCCCTCCCTGTCTTTTTTCAGATCAGATACTCTTGGCCACATTTTGCCCACCCTCGGGAAGGATTGGACCCACCAGGGCATTGCCAAGCTGTACCATAAAGTAAGCCAGTAAGTACAGGGGGCCTGGGTGTGGCATTGGGGCCCCAGCTGACAGCTTCAGACACTGCTTCTGGGGTGTGAACTGGATTTGCTAAGGGTGGGGGGTGCCCCATGGCCACCATTGTAGGGGGGGCATGCGGGAATCCTTAGTGCAGAGTGAATCGTCCCAACTCTTTTCTTTTTTCTTTTTGGGTCACAGTAGGTCATACCAGGGGTTACTCCTGGCTCTGTGCTTGGGAATTAATCCTGGTGGTGCTTGAGGGACCATATGGGATGCCGGGGATTGAACCCAGGTCGGTTGTGTGCAAGGCAGATTCCCTACCTGCTGTACTATATCCCCTCCGGCCCTTCTGCCAATTCTTTTATTTAATTTTTTTTTTTAATTTTTAAAGCTTATCTTCATAAAGTTGTTCACAATAATGGATTACATTCAATATTTTGACACTAGTCTCAACATCATTACACCTTCCCACAACCATTATTTTGAATTTTCCTGCCACCACTCAAACCTACTGAACAGGCAGATGCTAGATAATTTATTTTGTATTGCTTGTTATGGATAGCATAAGATCTCACATGGTAGCAAGAGTGGCCACGCACTCCTAGAATTCTAAAATTTTACATAGTTAGGATCTGGAGAAATCTCTGCAGTGAGCTGCTTGGTTCTGAGATTCTTTTGTATGTCTCTGGATCATGGCCGTGAAGGAGCCTAAATAGAGCACCCAGAGGCAGTTTGTGGGCATGATATCCAGGGTCCCATAGGAGCGGGAAGATGAGAAGGACCAGCTCATCCTCTGTCCCTTGAGGCCTGGAGTTTGCATGGACTGGACCCGCATACATGGGCTTTTCTTTGGGTTCTGGAAGTTGGTCGCCGCCGGGATTCTTAGGGCTCCTGCCAACTCTTAATTGGAATTCAGTACTAGGGGACAGGAGAAGCAAGGAGGGGAGAACTGAAAATCAGTAGGGGGTCGGGTAGCGGGGGACTGGGGAAGCAGCTCTGTGGACCTGAGTGGACTTCACCTCGCTGGCAGGAAGCCCTAGCTGCCATCCTGGCTCCTTCCAGGGGAGGGATTGAGGATCTCTGGACGTAGAGGGAAACCCGAGGCCCTCCGGTGGATGCTTGCTAGCTGGTCCATGCCGAGTGTGCTCCTCTGGGCTCACACAGTGCAGTTCCAGTTGTGGTTCCGGGATGGGAAAGAGCCCACAGCTGGTGTCTGGTCCTCCTGGACTGGGAGCTTCCACGAAATGGCCAAGTCACGGAACGACAATTTAACTGACGTTCTCTGACGTTCTCTGTTTTAGAGGGGTTGGTTCTGGCTTGCCACAAGACCTGGAACTTGAGCCGGCGCTTCAGTGCCAGGCCTGGTGGTCCTGGGCTCTGCACTGTGCTTGGGGAGGGGAGGGGGGTTGGCACTAGGGCAGCAGCAGCTGGCAGGGCTCCTGGGGTGTGAGGGAGGGGCACCACCACTTGCAGCCACATCCTTCCGCCCTGGGTGGTCAGTCTCCAATAGCTGTCACCTGTCGCGTACCTGTGCCATTTTTTTTCGAAAATTGCTTTTGGCTCTTTGGGTCACACCCGGCAATGAACAGGGGTCGCTCCTGACTTTGCACTCTGGAATTAACTCCTGGCGGTACTCAGGAGACCCTGTGGAATGCTGGGAATCGAACCCAGATAAGCCACATGCAAGGCAAACGCCCTCCCCGCTGTGCTATCACTTCAGACTCAGTGCCAGTTCTTTAAAGCCTTTTTATCTGGAAAGCAAGTGCTCGCTCCCCTCCCATCTCCACTTTGAGGTGAGAGAAGCAAACTCAGAGCTAAAGTGCTTTGTGCCGGCTCCCAGGCCTCTGATGGGTGGACCCCACCCACTTTACTCTCTTGGGCCTGGCCCTTGAGCGGTTGCTACTGTTCGGGTCTCCCTGGGTTTAGGGGTGTGGATGTTCTTCCCGCTGTCCCCTGGCTGGTGCCGAGCACCATCTCTTTCCTCCTAAGGCTCTGACCACACCCACTTCTCAGCCTGGTCCTGCCTCAGGACCACAACCAGGGAATGCCAGGGTGGGAAGCCCGGCCCTGGGTCCCCCAGGTCACACGGGCGTCTGACTTGTGGGTGCAGGGAGGAAGTGTGGGGTGGAAATCTTCAACCATTCCCAGCCTCTGGGCTCTGGTAACCAGCCATTGGCCTTCCCTCTGGTCACATGTGTCCTCTGATAGGCACTGAGATGATGCTGGAAGGGACAGGGTCCTCCTGGACCTTCCGTGCTGTGGCATAGGGTGGCTGTGGCAGGACCTTGTAACCAGCCGGGATTCAAGCTTCTGATTGATTCTCACACTCCCCACTCATTGGTTCGATTTTATTTTATTTTTTTTTAAATAGACTTGTATTTTTGCGTGAAGTGGAGCGGGGAGCGTCACTCCTGGCAATGCTCAGGGGCTGTTGATGACAGTGCTTAGGCTACTCCTGATTCTGTGCTCAGGTGTCACTCCTAGCAGTGCTCCAGGGACCATATATGCAATCTCAGGAATAGAATCTAGCTCAGCCTCATGCCTTTCCCCCCTGCACGATTTCTCCAGCTCTAGATTTCATCTTTTTTTTTTTCCTTTTTGGGTCACATCTGGCGATGCACAGGGGTTACTCCTGGCTCTGCACTCAGGAGTTACTCCTGGCGGTGCTCAGGGGACCATATGGGATGCTGGGAATCGAACCTGGGTCGGCTGCGTGCAAGACAAACGCCCTACCCGCTGTGCTATCTCTCCAGCCTCAATTTCATCTTTTTAAAAAGTTGTAAAAATAGAGAAATAGTACAGCAGGACGGTGCTTGCCTTGCACGTGGCCCACCCAGGTTTGATTTCCCCAGGACCCTGTAGGGTTCCCTGAGCGCCACTGAGAGTGACCTCTGAGCACAGAGCCTGAGCACAGCTGGGTGTGGTCCAAACCTCCTCCCCCGCCCCAAATTATAAAAGTCCTTATGCCTGTGCCTCTCACACTGATGTTTCACTGAAGCAGGACCCCCTATCTGCCAGTGATGCTGAACACAGCCATGCGGGTGTATGTGAGTCTTTTTCCTGAAGCTTGCATAGGGACCCAGTGGCTGGCTTTGCATTTCTCAGTGGGTCTCTCTGGACCTCGGAGACCTAGGACAGGAGTACTTGCTTTTTTCTTTTTCTCTCTTTTGATTGTTTTTGGGCCACAGCGGTGGTGCTCAGGGCTTAGCCCTGGCTCTGCGCTCAGGGGTCACTTCTGGTGGTACATGAGGGCAAATGCCCTACCCACTGTACTATCTCTGACCTCATCTTTTTTTTTTTTAATTTCATTTTCATAAGGTTGTTCACATTAATTGATTACACTCAATATTGGAACACCAGTCCCACCACCGTTACACTTTCCCACCACCATTATTTCAAATTTTCCCACCACCATTCAAGCCTGCCTGATAGGGGCAAATGCTACATAATTTATTTTCTATTGCTTATTATGAATATTATGAGAGGTAGCTAAGCCATGTGCTTCTCTTCTGGAATTCTAAAATTGTAAATGGCTGGGGTCCAGAGACATCTCTGTAGGAAGTTGATCCATTATGAGGTTCATTTGGAAGTCTCTGGATTAAGGCCATTGATGCGCTGAGATGAAGCAGATTGTGGGCGTGACAACCAGGACCCCCGAGCCGGTGGGTAGACAGGAAGGGCCTGTTTCCACTACCGCCGTGTGGCCTGGAGTCTTAGTTCCTGAACTCTCGTACTTGGGTTTTGCTTCTGGAAGCTTGTGACCATCGGGGTTTCATCTGGAGTGGGCAGAGAGGGCACATCCACTCCATCTCAGGTGCCCTGGTGGAACTGACTCAGTACAGGGTCCAGCGAGATCTCTGGTGAGCTGCTCTCTTCTGGGATTCACTGCTTGTGTCTCTGGATCAAGGCCATTGATGCCTGAGATGGTGCCTGGAGGCAGTTTGTGGGCGTGACAGCGAGGACCCCGAACAAGCAGGGAGATGGGAAGGACCAGCCCATCTCTACTGACTTAAATAGGCATCACACCTACTGGTACTGGCGGTCTCTGCGGGGCACAGTACTGGGCATGATGCCGCTCAGGACCACCAGGGACTCCACCGGCCATGCATGGGGTGGGGGTGAGCGGGGCACATGCATTGCCAGCACTTTCCCTGCTCACTCACCTGTCCACTTTAGCAGTTTCCCTAATTCTCTTAAAAATACTCGCGAGGCAAAGACTCGAGAGATCTTAAAGGACAGAGGTCTTGCCTTTCTCCACCTCTTCCACGCTTGGTTGTCCTGCGCTCCAACGTTCCCCGAGCCCCTGCCCCCCACACACCAGCACAGCATGTTCTTTTGTAATAAATATGTCTTTCCCTTTCACGTAATATATCTTTCCTTTTCACTGCATGCAGAGTTGATCTCATTCTCTCTGAAGGCTGCACAAAGCCCCCAATCTGGGTAGACACACAGCATGTCCCGAGCATTTGCAGGTGGTATTTATTTCGAAGACACCCACAGGCAAGGACCGTTCTCCGGTCCAGTTCAGGAGAAGCAGTGCTCGCTTGGAGGGGCCCACTTCGAGGTTTGCTCCCTATTGCCAAACTGTCCACTGCAGAGACTCCTGACTCCATGCTCTTGTGAAGGGTGGGGGTGCCGGCCTTCCCTTCCACAACTTCACCGCAGCTGCCTCTCATTCACGGGAAGAAGAGGCTGCTGGGCTGCCTTGGCTCGCCTGACCCTCAGCATTGCATCTAGCTTTAGATGAAAGAAATCCTCATGGGTCAGGATGCTGAGCTGTTCACAGTCTGACTCATTTTTTTTTTGGCTTTTGGAGCATAGATCTATTCTTGCCCTGGTGTTAACATCAGAATTTAAAAAAGGCATAGTTGCAGTGATGATATATTGATATATATATCTACATTTTTTTCTCTTTCAATCTTGATTTCTGTGTCTCTTTGGATTTTCCCAAAAAGATCTCTTCTTCAAACAAAAAGTGGTTAGTTTACCATGCAACGGACTTTTCGTTGTTTACTTTGATTCCCAGCATGTTTCCCAGAGTGGGTAGCCCCAGGGGTGCAGGTACACCCCAGGGGGGGTGTACTTCCTGTTTGTTCACTTAAAGAAGGTAGATTGTTGGTGGGAGGGTGCAGAGGGGCACTGAATGATTTTTTTTTTCCCCCGCAGAGAAAGTGGTGGTAGGAATCTGTTCGCAAGGATCCGAGTAGAACTGAATGCTTCTGGTCTTGTTTTTTTCATTGGGGCCACCCCCAGCAGTGCTCAGGGCTTACTCCTGGCTCTGCACTCAGGGATCACTCCTGGCGGTGCTCTTGGAACTAAGGGCGAGGGGGTGCCACGGATCAAAACTGGTTGACTGCATGCAAGGCAAACACCCTACCCTCTATACTATTGCTTTAGCCTCTGCTATTTTTTTTTTTTTTTGATTCTGTTTTTGGGCCACATCCAGTGGTGCTCAGGACTAACTCCTTGCTCTGTGCTTAGGGATCACTCCTGGAGTTGCTTGGGGGATTATCTGTATGTGGTGCTGAGGCTGAACTCAGTCAGTTGTATGCAAGGCAAATGCCCTACCCACTGTACTATCCATCATTCTGGCCCACTTTTGGTACTTTTATTTAGATTGAGAGGAAGTAGTTTGACATTTGTGTGTTCTTTGAGTTGAGTGTGTGTCATCTGGCACCCAGACAATTAGGCCAGTGACGATCAGGCCTCCTGTGTCACTGGCTGGCACACAGATCAAGGGCAATTTCCTCAGTGTGCCTCTTCTCCCTGTTTCTGCTTCATTTTCTCCCTAGCCCTCTTGTGGGGCAGCTATGCTCCCCATCCATTGCCCCCCCCCCACCCCCGCCCATTTCTTCCCCCTTTGCTCCTCTGGTGGCCTTGCCTGGCATGCCTTCACCTTTTTTTTTTTTTTAAATTTTATTGAATCATGGTGAGGTACAGTTAAAAGCTTTTATGTTTGAGATTCAGCCATAAAATGATTGAACACTATTCCTCCACCAGTGCACATTTTCCACCACCAATGTCTCCAGTATCCTCCCCTTCCTTCTCCCCCCACCCCCCCACCCCCGCCTCCAACATCCCAGTCCTCACCCTGCCTCTATGGCAGGCAATTTCTCCAATACTCTCTCTCTACTTTTGGGCATTATGTTTTTCCCAATTTTTTCCTCCACCATTTAAAGCCTGCCTGCCAGGGGCAGACACTAGGTAGTTTGTTTCCCATTGCTCATTTTGAATATCATGAGTTTGCATGGCCGCTTTGTGGCCGCGCACTTCTGGAATCCTAGGTTGTAGATGGTTGGGTTCCAGAGACATCTCTGTAGGACTCTAATCCATTTTGGGATTCAACTGGGAGTCTCTGGACCAGAGCTGTTGGTGTGCCAAGATGGCGCTTGGCAGAAGCTTGTGGATATGACAGCTAGGCCACAGCGGGTGGGGAGCCAGAGAGGGATAGCCCAGCACCTCTGCTGCCATGTGGCCTGGAGATTTAGTCCTGGTACTACCTGGCCCTTGCTTGTGGGACCTCTTGGATGCCAGGATTCCATCTGGTTTAGGCAGGGAGATTGCACCTGCTGCATTTGGGGTACCCTGGTGAAATTGACTGGTATGGGGACTGGAGGGATCTCTGGTGCTGTGGTGCCATCTGGGACTGGTTGCTGTGTCTCTGGACCAGGGCTGTTTCACCTCTGACTTTTGCCTGTGTTGCCCAGCCCAGGTGCCCCATGCCTCCAAATCTGAACTTGGAGTCCTGGCTTGCATAGATCTGCCTGGGGCTGGATGTGGTGTGAGGCTGTCACAGCTGAGCACTGGTGAGCCCCTTCCTGGCAGTTTCCCTGCCGTCCACTGCTGTCTCCTCCAAGTGAGAAGTGGCATCTGCTGGGAGATGGAGAGACCCAGAACTGACATTGGCCGTAAATCATGGATCTCCCAAACCCCGTTTAGCTGGTTGAGTCCTTTCTAGTGGTTTCCAGAGTCCCAAGATGAAGCCACTGGACTTTCATTTTGGACTGATCTCATTCCCCACCTGGGAACCCTGGAATTGTGCCCCTCCCAAGTGTCATGCCCTGTGTTACGGGTTTGTCCGAGGGAAAACCCAGAACTCAGCTCCGCTGACAGCCTGTGGCCTGGAAACAATAGAAATTGAGGGCACTTCTATTTATTCTCTTGCCAAATGTAATGGCTCGTTTGAATACGGTTGGCCTGTAAGAAACTACCTTTGAGGCTGATTGTTACCTTGTTCCCAGAGAGGGTATAAAAACTTGCTTGGTTATTGATTTGAAAAAGCTTCCATAAAAGTTATCAATCAAGATGAACTGTGGCCAACCTATGGAGGCCCGAGACAGCTCCATGCACGGCTCAGTGTCCACGCTCATTCAGCGTTTCTGGAACATTAGACTTGGCCACACGGCTGCCCTCTGTTCCCCACAGACCCACCCTCCCTGCTCTCCTCGCCGAGCTGGGGTTTTCTCAACTTGGAAAGCAGGAAATTACAGGCCTGGAGAGATATTGCAAGGGCTTATGCTTTGCATGTACAGGAATTCATTTTGAAGTCTGGTACCGCCTGGCCCACCCTGAGCATGGCTGGTTATGGCCCCGGTGGTCCCAGCACCCCAGGGCTCGAGCAGCACCCTGGTGCTGGACTGCAGGATTGAACCGCCTGGTGGCTTGGTGCACTATTCCTGTGAATGACCCCCAGATCTCTGAGTACTGCTTGGAAGGACCCCCACCCCAAATCAAAGGAGGAAGTTAGACTTAATGGCCCTCAGGTAGGTCATTGACTGACCCGTGGTGCCCTGCTGCCCAAGAGTAGCTGACAGGAGAAAAAAACTGTAGTCTATGGACACAGTGGAACATACACAGGCCTAGGCAGGGCGGTGCGGCTGCTCTCCAATGATGGTTATGGCCTAGAGAGGAGTTGGCCCCTGGAACAGCAGGGACAGGTGGCAGGAGGGAGGCAGTGGTCACAGACCAGAGCAAATGGGGAAAGATCTGCAGTAGTTGTGGTGTGCAGGTCCTCAGCCAGGAGTCGGATGTCCAGGTTTTGGCCATTGTGAATTAGTACTGCTACAGTGCTCCTGGAGCCCTGATATTTTCTGAACAGAGTTTTTGGGCCCCTGGGGTAGATGCCCAGAGGTGGGAATGCAGGGTTATTTTGTTTTTGAAGAGCTGACATGCTCTCCAGCAGTAGACAAGGTTCCTTTTCCCCACCCACATCCACACCAATGCTGGCTTTTCATTCTTAGTCATATGTACCGTTCTCCGTGTGAGGTGATAACTCAGTGTTATTTTGCTTTGCATTTCCCAGATGTCACATTCCCCCCCCCCCACCCCCCCCCCCCACACACACATACTTCTTAGCCACCTGCGTGTCTTCTTTGAGGATGTTTCTGTTCATCTTGACTCCTCATTTTTTGAGGGGGCTGATTGTTCTTGTTAATTTTTGCCAGTGATTTATATGTACCTTGGAAATGAACCCTTTGTCAGATGTGGGGTGGGCCAATATGTCACCCCAGTTTTGGGGGGTAAAAATATGTTATTGTATGACACTATTGGGCTGGAGCAATAGCACAGTGGTAGGGCATTTGCCTTACAAGCAGCCAACATGGCCGACCCGAGATCGATTCCTCCGCCCCTCTCGGAGAGCCCGGCAAGCTACCAAGAGTATCTTGCCCACACGGCAGAGCCTGGCAAGCTACCCGTGATGTATTCGATATACCAAACACAGTAACAACAAGTCTCATGATGGAGATGTTACTGGGCCCACTTGAGCAAATCAATGAACAACGGGAGGACCGTGACTGTGACTGTGATGACACTATTAACAGAGATATGCATTTCAAGCATGGGGTGGGTGAGGCCTTCCCCAGGGGTGAGGTTGAGGTGGTGATGGAACCTGTCTGGGAGGGGAGGGCTGCTGTCACAGGAGGGTCAGAGGTAGGGATGATGCTCTGTGTGGGGCTCCCACATGAGAAGAGAGGCAGTGTTGGCTGGATGTGCGAAGGTGGCATCTTAGGTGACCTTAGGACATGATAAAAAGGAGCAGCAATCTCCCTTGGGTAGATTGAAGGTGGGGAGGTAGGAGTTGAGTTAGCGTCAGTGCAGACACAAATGCTTCTGGGAAGGATCTTGCTATAAAGGGGAACAGAAATGGCATTCGATCTCGAAAGGTAAAACTCAAGGGCTTGGTGATGGAGCTAAGATAGTACAGCAGGTAGAGAACTTGCCTTGCATATGACTGACTCAGGTTCTATGCCCAGCACCCAATATGATACCCCCAAGCCCACAAGGAGTGACCCTGGAACACAGAGCCAGGAATAAATGCTGAGCATTGCCAGATGTGGCCCCCTCAGACAAACAAGGCTGTGGAGGGACAGTGTGTGTGTGTGTGTGTGTGTGTGTGTGTGTGTGTGTGTGTGTGTGTGTTAGGATGAAAAGTGTAATTGTGCACTGGCAGGAATTATCTATGGAGGATATCAACTTGCTGGACCTTTGTGTGTTGTGGGTGTCTGGCTGGCCCTCCTGAGGAGTGGGGACTGGGCCTATGGACAGGTGGGTGCTAGTAGGTGGGCAGGTGAATGCATTGAACCTCAGTTTCCCTAGGAGCAAAAGAGGTGGGAAGCATCCCCCTCCACCGAGGATGTTTCCGTGAAGTTGAGCAGAACAAGGGCGCAAAGACTTAGAAAGTGACAGGAAACTGTCTTTGGACTTGTTTTGCAATTGAAAATAAGATTTTTTTTTACAAGGGTGTTCACTTGGGATCCTGCAACTGTGCTCTTCTTCACCCAGTGGCGCAGGGTTTATGCGCCAACAAAGACACATTTTCTGGGACCATCCAGGGTGAACTTTCTGTCTCTCCTTTCAGAAATGGATACAAGTTTCTCTACTGTTCAGCACGTGCAATCGGGATGGCAGACATGACGAGGGGCTATTTGCACTGGGTCAACGAGAGGGGCACGGTGCTGCCCCAAGGGCCCCTGCTGCTAAGCCCCAGCAGCCTCTTCTCTGCCTTGCACAGGTATGATGCTGAGTACATATGGGGGGCTTGGTTCTGTGTGTGTGTGCAGAGCCCTGGCGCTGCATGTTTGTCGGGGACCTAGGGTGCTGTGTCCAGAGCAGATGGGGGCAGGTACCTGGTACTGCGTGTGGGGACCTGAAACTGCCTGCCTTTGGGGGCCTGTTGTACAGCCAGTACCCTTAGATTGCTCCTCTTAAGCCAGCCTCCACAGTGGGCTCCATAGGGGCGCCAGAAACATGGTTCTAGGATGCAGGAATTCTGGCCCTTTACCCTGCTCCCCCCCCCCCCCCCCCCCCCCCCCCCGCCCCATCAGCCAAACTGTCTGGCCTTGTTTTGTGGGAGTCAATCTCGCGTTTGCACATGCTAGGTGAAGCTGATGTGGTGGCTGGCACAGTGTCCTTAGGGTCCCTAGAGCAGTGAGGATTTCAACTTGAAAATGAAATCCAGATGGTCTGTAGGTGTGTCTGGAAGCTATTGTGACTGCAGCAAGCTCCTCATTAGCATATGCTAAGTACTAAGTCTTTGTTCTAGAAAGGCCTCCCAAAGTCATTTTTTTGTTTGTTGGTTTTTGTTTTTGGGCGGTGTCCAGGGCTTACTCCTTGCTCTGCACCCAAGGGTCACTCCTAGCGTGCTCTGGGAACCTCATGGGTGCCATGAAGCTGGCTTGGCCACGTGCAAGGCAAACCCCCTATCCACTGTACTGCCGCTCTGGTCCCATCTTTTTTCTATTTTCTTCTTCCAAATTTTATTTTATTAAAGCACTCAGAGATGCAAAGTTTTCCATATTAGGTTTTTTTATATACAGTGTCTGATCATAGTGTCAATGAAGAAATTGTCTGAGGATTTACTGCTGTTATGATTTAGGTGTTACTGTTTTTGCTCACTGAGCTTGGTGGGCATCTACGCATTTCCCCCACTGCTTTTCTAGTGCTCTTGTTGTACTAGAGGTGAGTCTTTGTAGTTACCCACCCCCTCCCCCAGAGGTACTGAGGGATTAAGCTCAGAGATTACTCTATATCTTCTCTGCCCATCCTCACAGAATAACAGAAAGAATAGCTGTGAGCCCTCCCGTTGATCGTCGATTTGCTCGAGCGGGCCCAGTAACGTCTCCATTGGAGACTTTGTTGTTACTGTGTCTGGCATATCGAATACTCTCGGTAGCTTGCCGGGCTCTCCGAGAGGGGCGGAGGAATCGAACTCGGGCCGGCCATGTTGGCCGCTTGTAAGGCGAACGCCCTACCCGCTGTGCTATCGCTCCAGCAACATGTATAATTCATTAAGTAGCTATATTGTGTGGCCACAGTAGTGGCCGCCTGCTTTATGACCTCTGGTGTGGGCCCTTAATATGGCTCTGGTTGGGTGTGAAGACTTCTTGGACCTACCTATGGGAAGAGGTTCTGCCTCCCATTCTGGAATAGGCCTAGTAATGTCAGCCAGAGGCAAACCTCTCCTGGGATGGTGGAGTAGCAACCCGAAGGTCAGTCAGGAGCTGTGGTGTGGGTCTTTTTTTTGTTTGTTTGTTTTGTTTTGTTTTTTGGATCACACCTGGCGATGCCTAGAAGTTATTCCTGGCTCTGCACTCAGGAGTTACTCCTGGCTGTGCTCAGGGAACCATATGGGATGCTGGGAATTGAACCTGGTTCAGACGCGTACAAGGCAAATGCCCTACCCGCTGTGCTGTCGCTCCAGCCCCTGGTGCGGGTCTTTATTACTGTGCAGGTAAGGTGTGGAGGTTGCTGGGACCCACCCAGCAGGGACGAGTCCACCTCCCATTCTGAAGTAGGCCCCGTGATAGCAAGCCTGTCTGGGATGATGGAGCAGCAAGCAGGAGGTCCATCCTGACAATTTTTATTGAGATAATTTTACTTCTCTTCTTTATCTGTTAGGTTATATTATCTTAGTTGGTTATTTCTTTAGTGAAGCAGATAGCTTTTATAGGGTAAAACTTACTGAGAGAGACATGCGGGGAGATAAAGAGAGGAGATTTGTGTTCAGGAGAGAACACGGGCTTCTCCAGAATGGAAAAAAGCAAAAGAGACATAGTGAGCCACATGGCCAAGGATGAACATGGAGTTGAAGAGCAAGCCTTGTTTGGTTTTTAGGTATGAAGTAGTTTTATTCCTGGAATAAAACTTATCACGCTTTGCCACAGCCCGTTTGCATCTATGGATTCATTTAGAATTTTTGCACTCAGAGTCACACATGAGGCTGACCGCACCTGGCTCTTGCTTTCCTTTAGATTTTTTTGAGGTGCTTGCTAGACTCCAAGAATGAGATTTGGAGGTGTTCTTTCTCTGTGTGTGTGGGGTGGTGGTGGTTGTGGTGGTGGTGGTAGTGGTGGTTTCTCTCTCTCTCTCTCTCTCTCTCTCTCTCTCTCTCTCTCTCTCTCTTTCTCTCTCTTATCTCTCTTATCTCTCTATCTCTCTGTGTCTCTATGTGTGTGTGTGTGTCTCTCTCTCTCTGTGTCTCTTTGTGCCTGGCTGACTGGTGGTGGTCTGGGGTGAAATCTCTCTCCTGAGTGTCTTCCTTGAGGATGGTTTTGAAAGCTGGGATGGCCTGCCTGATGCTCTTCTGGGGTGACTCGGCTGACTCATGCACATTTCCCTTCGGGGAGATGAACGTGCCAGGGCATCTTTGACAGTTAAAAATAGTCCAGTGCTAAGAAGCTTTGCCTCTCACGCTGATCCATTCTTTATTTATTTGTCTTAACAGAGAAGTGATTGAAAAGAAGCCAGAGAAGTTTAAAGTCCAGTGTTTGACAGACATCAAAAACCTGTTTTTCCCCAATACAGAGCCCTTTTATGCTGCTTTTGGAAACCGGCCGGCTGTAAGTAGCAGAGGGGGTATATAAGGGCTCTTGACACTCCGGCCTCTGCCCGGTCCAGAGGACATGGAAAGGCTGGCCTCCACTGTCCACAAGGTCAGAGTCTCTTCCCCTGAGAAAGTTCTGGCCCAGGGCTGCCTGCCTGCCTGCCTGCCTGGAAAGGCAAGCTTACTGTCAATTATTTCATGGCCTCTTGTTTTCTTTGAAGATTGGCTAGTGGGTTTCAGTGAGAAGCTTGACAGATCAGACTGCAGCCTTCAAATTCCAAATGATTCACTAGTATATGAATCAGGAACATTGAAAAGGGTCGAACTTTCCCCGGCAGCAACTGCCAAGCTTGTCCTTAGCAAATCAGTGAATCAAACTCCTCCTGTTTTAAGAGGATTGTCAGATAGGGTGATAGTATGCCCTAAGGTTTGCTTTCCATTTTCTTCGGGAAAGTTCAGCATTCTGAAAACTGTAAACTAGGGACTGATTTTCCAGGAAGAAAATTTCCCTGCTTTTGAAAATCATCCTTGAGGACATGGGTCAGGGGAGAACAGAAGCAGATAACCAAATTACAGGGGGACATGGTGGGTTGTGGACTCTCTAACTCAGTTTCTGAGCAGATGGGGGAGCTGTTGCTCAGAAAGGGTACCAGATTGAATTGTTCACATCGAGTGGTATTCTTTGTCTACACAACTTGGATCAGTGAAAGTTTTGTAGTGTTGAATCAGTGTGTATTTCCCATCAGCTTTGTTTCGCTAATTAATTCTTTGTCTTTGCCAAATACAGGATGTATATTCATATAAGCAAGTAGGAGTGTCTTTGAACAGAATCTTCACCGTCAACCCCAAAGGAGAACTTGTACAGGAACATGCAAAGACCAACATTTCCTCGTGAGTATCCCGCATGTCTCTGAGCCCTGTATTTTAACGGAGGCTGCTGCTGCTATTGTTGGATGCATCTTGAAATAATGTTTTACGGCTGAGGGCAATCTTTTGGAATAAAAAATTCCTTTGTCCATAAGTTAGTTTTTAATTCCTACTAAGAAAAAGAATTTTTTTAAGTCCTTGTATTTTGTACCAAACTTGATGTTTGACAGTTTAAACTAAACCACATCCCCGCTGGGTGAAAAGTTGAAACAAGTGTTTGATTCTGCAACTGAATAGAATGGAAAGGACTTGAAAACTGGTGGTTTGGGTTTGCCCAGTTGGGGTTAAAAGTCTAGAATATGAACTAGGAATGTAGCCAAACTAAAAGGTGACATGAAACAGTACTTCAGTTCCTCTGTAAGGTAACAGGTGTTTTGGGTCACACACAGAACACTGGTAATAATAATGCCTTAAGTGGAAGTACTGCTGGTTAAGTGCAGAATTCCTGGGAGTGTGGTGGGATCCCACACCCTGATGCTGTGGGCTGAATGGGATTGTTTTATGGTGGGCCTGCTGATTGGCTGTGGAATCGCTTTCTCCCCTGTCTTGCTTTGGTCTCATCACTTCCTAGCATGAAGGTGACGGTTCCCCTCCACACTGGGGGCTTTGCTTGCTGGGTGTCATCAATCCAGGTAGACAGCTGTCCCTCTTGCTCATCTTTACTGAGGTCGCTTCTCTGGTTCTGTGCCAACCTGGGAAGGAGCCTCTGGCCTGAGCACATGCAGGGGGTTAGGAGATAGTCTCACGGTGTCCTGGGCATTGCTTTTCTCCAAGCATCTCCTTGGTTGGAGGAAAGTCAGAATTTAGGATTCTGCAGAGCAGATCTTCACATTACAAAATAATTCCTATACCCACTGGAATCCCATCCAGCATACATGGAGCAGTTCCAGGCCAGAGAGAACCTGGGCTCTGTCCAGGTAGCTGCTTCCTTGCATGCTCATGCCTACCGAACCCAGACCAGCTTTCAGAGGGCAGGATGGAGCCAGAGCCAGGGTAACCAATGACAGAGTCCTTGCTTAGGCCTTTCCTGGCAGTTTCTTTCTCGTCACCCCTCAGTGCATCATTGTCCTCTCTTTTTCATTCACCTGCACGGCACCTTTGGGGAAAGAGGTTTTTCTTAGCCAGAAGATCAAGTAGATAAACTCCCTTTCCTGCTGGTGACATCACCCGGAAATAGCCAGCACTCCTGCTCGGCAGCCCCCAGGGCCAAGACTTGGCATGAGCGGGTAGAGAAGGGAGTGTTGCATCTTGAGAGTGTTTGCTTGGAAGGCTGCCAAGGGGACCCACTCGCCGAGATGCAGGTCAAGCTGCACGCATAGTGTGTACTGTCCCCATCCTGGGAGGCATCTTTGGGGACCACCAACTGTGCCTAGAACAGCAGTTGCTGTTAGCCTGGAATCTGGGAGAGTTCCCAGAGGAGGGGACTGTCCTTCCCCAAGGGAGCACTTGCTTTTCTCTGTTTGTGGCGCACAACCATCTCAGTGCCACATGTGTGCTTGCCTGTCAGAACACACTGTCTCTGGACCATCTGTGTACACACAGATGGCGGGAACCCCCCCAGGCAGGAGGGAAAGGGTATGTCCTCTCCCCCGCTGGTGTCCTGTAGGCCCGCCAGCTCTGATCAGCCCTGAAGCACAGTATGTGGGAGAGGGTCCGGATCTGGGGTTCATCCTGGCGGTAAGCACTAATCTGCTGCTGGACAGAGGCTTCCCCTCCTCCTAAACCACACATGTCCAACAGGCCTAAAAGCCAGGAGGTATTTACAAGTTCATTTTAAATCCCAGAGAAGACATCATTCTTCCTTGTGAAGAGAGAATTTCCCCATTTCGTGCAAGCACATCGTTTCTTTAATAAAGGCCCTTTGGAGGTCCTTTATTAAATACACACTCTTCATCCTTATTTAATAAGTTGTTTCATGCCTCAGAACATCCTAACTCCTGGAGTTTGGATTTCAAAATCCCTTTTGAGTCTTCACAAATTGGAACTGGTAAGGGACTCAGTGACTGTCAGGGAGGACTCTGGGGGTATTTGAGAGACCTGAGCTTGCCAGGATTTCTGTTGGAGGCGCCATGAGGTCTGAAAATGCATGTTTAGTATAGTGATTTCTGTTTGTTGTGTAGGCCACAGAGACTAATGTGCAGCCTCTTAAGAACCATAAGGCAGCAGAGTGAGAGAGCACTATTGCAGGGAGCATTGAGAAGCCCTAGTCCTGTCCAACTCTGTGCTCTCTAAAGTTGAAGGGCCTGAGAGCCAGAGAGGGCAAGACATTGGCCCAAGATTATACAGCAAGCAAGGTGGCAAGTTCATTGTGGTATTAACTTGGATATCCTGAGTGCATTATTTTGTGGTTGCTCACATTCTTTTATTTCATTCTCATATAAAACTTAACACTATGGAGTTTTCTGTTTCTTCCCTTTACAGTTTGAGAACCATGTCCTTAAGCTGTTTGGGTGAGGTCACAGAGTGGGTAATGGGAGAGCTGAAAGTCAGAATTGGGGCCCCTTAACTGCAGGGCCCAGTGTTTTTACACTGACAGGGCAGCTGTCTCTGATGCTGCACAGATGAGCACAGTCGCTGGTTCTGCTTCCCTGATTCCCCTTGTCCACATGTTAGACTGTCCCTCACTCGAGCTGATTTCCTCTTGTCTTCCTTCCTTGGATCCTCGTCTCTTGCCTGCATGACCTTCTCTGACTTGATCTTCTCATTTAGAAGTTATTCTAGAATAATCTCTATTGTATTGTGACTGTTTGTTCCTCAGGGCCATTCTCAAGCACAGCCAGAGCAGGGTGTGTGTGTGTGTGTGTGTGTTGTGTATATATATGCTTGTGGCATGTGTGTGTATGTATTAGTATGTGCAGTGTATGTGTTGTATGTGTGTGGTTTGTATATGTATATACCTGTATTGTGTTTATGTGAATACAGAATCCAAACGAGAAGCAAAAGGAACCACTGATTGAAATTTTACTCTTTCTGTGATGTATATTTGTGTGTGGTGTATGTATATGTATGTACAGTATGTGTGTGTGTGGGGGGGGAAGTGGTGTGGTGGCAGGAGTTGCATATGGCCACTGTGTCCCTCAAAGGCACTGACCTTGTTCCTTGTCCTTTCAGCTATGTGAGACTCTGTGAAGTGGTTGACCACGTATTCCCGCTGCTGAAGAGAAGCCATTCTTCCGACTTTCCCTGCTCAGATACTTTCAGTAACTTCACCTTTTGGAGAGACCCACTGCCACCCTTTGAAAACCAAGATGTCCATTCGGCCTCTGCATAAGTTGCACCAGGCAGCCTCCCTGGTGTCGTCTGCAGCCTAGCAGCCCCATTAAAGGATAGGTTTTGGGAGCCGCAGTGCGGGCGCTCTGCAGCTTGCCGGACAGTCATTTGCTTGTGAGCTGGGAGAACTGAGCAGCATTTTCCAGCCCCCTCTGTCCTAGAGTGGGTTGACCCTGTGAAGGGGTAATTGAAGAGTGCACTTTATAGCCTTGGAGCCGGGTGTAGGCACAGCATGGAAAGCCTACCTTCATGGCCACTTGGTCTTCCCCCTGGCCTCTGTTCCTGGGGTCTTGGGAATAGGGCCACGAATGTTCAAGATACCTGAGCAGAGGAGGCTGCCCTGAGTCTCCACTGTCCACAGCATTCATTCACTGACTCTGGGCTGAAGGGTTACGGGAGCTCATTTCCATTGACCCGGTATAGGCACCTGCAGAGTGGAGGCCTGTGCTGGTGTGTGTGTGTGTGTGTGTGTGTGTGTGTGTGTGTGTGTGTGTGTGTGTGTATGCGCGTGCTGAAGGGAATGGGAGCTCATTTCCATTGGCCTGGTGTAGGCATGGCCCTGCAGAGAGTGAAGGGCTGTGCCGTGGTGTGTATGTGTATGTGCGCACGCGTGCGGCCTAGTATAGGCATAGCCCCCTGCAGAGAGTGCTGTGCTGGTGTGTGTGTGTTGCATGTGATGGGGACCCAGGACCTGAATCTGACCTGAATTCAAGGTTTCTGAAGGGAAACCAGATCGGGCTGTTTGGGCCTTGGCCTTGCAGTTCCAGTTCCTTCCCTGGCAGTATTTCGTGGCCTGCCCCTTCTCATGTTTAGGCCACAGCGCTAAAGATAACCTGTGTCATTGGTTGCCTTCCCGCGATATTTGTGGCTCAGGCTGAACTATTTATGCCTTAACACATCTGTTGACAGGCGTGTTACCTAGGGTGCGCTTTGCCTGGTGTGCTCGGTGCACTGTCCTGCGTGTGTGTGTCGTGTCCCCCCCCCCCCCCCCCCCCCCCCCCCCCCCCCCCCCCCGCGGCCCCTAGTGGGTGCTGCAGCTACGGGCGGGAACAGAGCTGCTGCAGGGGAGGGTGTGAGGTGGATTCCTGGGGGTGGTCCTCAGGGTGGAGCAAGCACCTGACTTCGCTTTCAGAAAATCGTCACACAAGCCGTCACACCCTTTTCCTCTATCGATATTATTTATTAATCTCCGCCGGTTGAGTCACTGACTAGCATGCCAGCCACCGTCTCTCAGTGACAACTGTCTCTGCGCTTAACAGTGGGGCAGGGGAGACCAAAGCGCCTGGTGGTCAGGCCACCGCTCTGTCCCTGCGCTCTGTGACCGGCCCTGGGCGTCGCTCCCTTAGGAACTCCCCGCTGTTCAGTTGCGTTCTCTGAGGCCCCGGGGAGAAGAGGATCCTCTCTTCTTCCTTTTCTTGTGCTTTTAGATTGTCTTGTGGCCAAAATGGTTTCAAAAGCAAGAGAATTTTTGGGGGTAAAAGATTTTGATTTCCTTTTGAAGTATTACAATTTTTTTTTTTAAAAGAATGTTTTACTTCACTGACTGGAATGCTTTCCTCTTGAAATCACATTGTTAGAGCCACTGGAGACTTTCAAAAAAGAATCCAAACGAGAAGCAAAAGGAACCACTGACTGAAATTTTACTCTTTCTGTGAAAGAAGCCCCCCGAGGTGTTGCCTTCGTGGTGGCGAACGGGTCCGCTGGCACCTGACTGAGCATGCGCAGGGGCCCGGGAGTGACTGAGCATGTGCAGGGGCAGGGCTGCCCAGGATGAGGAGCACGCATGCGCAGATCCCTCTTGCGGGGAGGGTCCTTTCCCTATGATGAAAACTGGTCCTGCCTTATTCATTCTGGGCTTGTTCCACCAATGATCTTTAGAGGCTTCCCGTTTTGTTTTCTTTTGTGAAGCTTTTTTTTTCCTTTTTTTTTGGGGCGGGGAGAGGAGGTTTGAATTATAGCTGAAGTATAAGCTCCAGGGGCCTTACCAAAGCTGACCCATTTTCCCTTGCAGGGAGAAATTTGACTGCGACGGGGAGGGGAGTGCCTCTTCCCTCCCTCCCTTTTCCCTGTGCCATTATGAGGGGGCTACCCGCTTGTTGTCCCTTTTCTAAATGGATGGGAGATAGCAGGCCACACTGGCCCTTTCATTGAGTGCCCATGGAGCTAATACCCTCTCTGCCCTCCTGGGGCCAGGTCCGCCCAGATGGGTAACCCAGGACAGGAGAGCTTGGGACGTCACCCCTGTGGGTGGCAAACCAGATTCGCCTCGGGCTGTCATCCCGTGGATGTGAGTTGACTTGTCTGTGTCAATGCGCTAGAAACCCCGCTGTCAAGCGCTCTGTGTGGGCCACGCCTTGGAAAGGGACACTCCGTAGTCACAAGTCTCCCAGTGACCAGCTCAAGTGATGAAGAACGAGGAGACCCCTGGACTATGGAAAAGCCCATCCAGTTGGTCCATTGGAGAAAGTGATGACATCTTCAAGGAGCATTCCTTTTTCAGTTTTAGGTCTGGATTGCCACTTGAATTCTATTTTACTTGCAGACTTGTGTTTGTACGTGCCGGTGCAACAATAAAAATAACTGTAATACTTCATTGTGTTGTGCCAGATGCAAAGCTAGAAAACATTGCAATAAAGGAGCCCGATGAAAGACTTCTAAATTGAGCAGTGTGAATTTAATTCATTTCTACTAAATAAGCTGCTGATTATTATCTTTTGGGGGGGAGGAGGGGTGCCTTAGGAGACGCCTGCCTGCTCTTCTTGACCAACTAAGTGGTTGGTTCAATGCACTGACACAAGGATGCGATGCTGTTCTGGTTCTGACCCTGCAGTGCTGGGAATGCCAAAGCCACGGCCACACCCAGTGGTGCTCCAGGGTTGTATTGGGTGATGCTCGGGGGAACCATGTGGTGCCAGGAATTGAACCCAGGCCAGATATATGCTAGATATGCGCTTGAACTATGGTACTATCTCCCAGCCTTAAGCAGCTCTTTCACTCTGATCAAGCACATTAGTTCTTTTTTTTTTTATTGGTGAAACATCATGTGGTACAGTTGTAGACTTACAATTTTTTGAAGCACATTAATTCTTTATGTTCCCACTGCCCCCAATCCTGTTGTTACTGTTGTGGTGTTGCAGAGGTTTTCACACATTTGTGCTGGTGTTGGGAGCCTCACACTTGGTTGTGGTGTGATGGGGGTGACACCAGCAGTGCATTTGGTGATGTGGCATGGTGCGGATTTGCAATCTCACACATAAGGCAGCCACTCCACCACTGAGCTGCTTTCTTGAATCTTCCCCCATAAAATCATTAAGTCTGTGAACGAATCAATATTTGCAATAAGAGAGTCATTTTGGATGCTATGGGTAAAACCAATGGTAAGACCACAGCTCTCCTTTGTCCTTAGGGACCCTGAGGGAAGAGGGGAAGGCTACATTGCAGGACATGGCTTCACCCTGTCAGGAGTATCAGTCAAAGGTGGTGCGTGAATTGCCTCTGGGATGGGGCCCATAACCTGTGGCTCTTAGGCAATCAGATTCTGCTCAGAGCTTGTTCAGCCTAGTGTGCTTGGGAGAGACTCAGGAAAATAAAGTTGGCTGTACTCACAGGTCCTAGACTCAGGAGGTACCGTGTGCCCCCCAGAACAACAAGGGGGTTTAGAGAGGCAGGAGTGACAGAAGTCAAGGGTGAGCCTTGTGGGGGTGGGGGTCCTGATTGGGGTTCTGCAGGAAAGGCACCAGCACAGCGCCAATGGCTTAGAATTGGCTAGCTTAAACAATTTCAAGAGATGGTCCCTGACATGCTGGCCTCTGGTTCTGGAATAACTAAGGCAGAGAAGTAGTGCCTTCTAGGGTTGGGGGTCCACGGGCAGAGAGGAACCATGGGTTAGTGTGCTTGTCTCAAACCCTCCTTAGTCCAGCCCTGTGCTGGTTCCAAAAATGTCCTAACCAGCTTCTCTCCCTGTCTGCAACCTCTTCAAGAGTATTCAAAGCACTATAATCATCGACAGGAAGTAAAAGTATAAATCATGCAGCTTCCCTGGTCTCACATCCATAACCTCGTGGTCTGGGCTCATCTCTTGGCTTTACCAAATTCATTTTCCAGTTTGACAAAAATTGCTCAGAACCCCTTGATGAGTGAGCTCACGGCACTAATGGATCGGTCACGCTTCCCGTTGCTGACGTGCATGGTCCCACATGCCAGCCATCCTGTTATCCTGAGGCAGCCTTGATGCTTTAGAGTCCCGTGGGCCTCTCGGGGGTCTAACTTCTTCAGGGAACCCCAGCAGGGTAGAGGCTGCACTCCTGGAAGGTTCTAAATGATCTCAGGATCTCAGCTTTGGGTGTTGCAGCAAGGAAAGAAGGTTTGTGTGCTTTGCAAACAGAACATTTCCTTGAATATCACACATTTCTTTCGGCCCCGATTTTAGATCTCAGGATTTATTTTTTCTTTTGAATGAGCTGCTGGCCCTGTTTTTCCTTGTTCTCTCTGCAGTACCACTAGGCTATGCTGTTTGCATGCTGTTGGCAGGCGGCTGTCAGCTGAGCAGGGAAGATGAGTTAGTTCTGTAGCCCGGATTTCCCCAGTGTCTCTCGGCTGTGTCACCCGAATGTCAAAAATACTTTCTCTTTTGGTTCCCGAACACGGACACCCCAGTAGACTCCACCCAGGAGCCCCATTATTGGGCTCAAGCAAGGAGCACAAGGAGTGCTGGCCAGGGAGGGGGGAGAAGGGGAGGAGTCAGGACTGGTGATGTGGGACCCCCAAATGGGTCTTTTCCTGTGAAAGGCAGTGATTGTGTGCAGAGAACAAGCCCTAGAACAGCAGGGGTGGGGCGTGGTAAAGAGGGAGGCAGGGACCCGTGACAGTAAGATCTGGCCTTGGAACTGCCCCTTTCTGGAAGGAGTGGGGGTCCTAAGCACCAATCTCACATCAGCTCTCTTCCCAGTTATTTGCCTCTGTGCATCCAATGAATGGACACTACTTTTGTTGCCAGGGGGTGAGGGTGGGGTTCATCCCTACATGAGGAAAAGGTGGGTTAGATGCCATTGGGGGTTGGCTCCTGTCTCAGAGTTGTCTCTGTCTCTTCATTCATTCATGCTACCGGGAAAGGTGGCCATGAAGTATTGGCCACATCTGCCGGAAGCACAAGAACAGGACCCCACAATTGGCTCTGGAAGTCTGTGGGGGGCACACTCTGGCTGCACTCTCATTCATGGTAGCTGCCCTGCCTTTAGCCACAGGGGTGTGTGGGCTTGACAAAGTTGCTGGGCCACCCTACAGCTGCACCAGGAATGTGTGGGTTTGTGTGTGTCTGGGTAGGGGGAGAGAGGAGTCATCTGGGCAGTTTGTAGAGCAACATGACCCCATTGACAGAGTCCAGGGTGGGGTCCCTGCACCGGCTCAAAGGAGAGCAGCCTGCAGCCGTTTGTTGTTGGGGCCAACAGACCTGCCCCATTTGGACAGAGGTGAAATACAAACTGGCCAGTTTGGCCCCATCCTGTTGAGCTCTCCTGTGCACACATGTGGGCACCCTAATCTGGCTTCCTCAATTCCTCCCTGGGGTTCTGAGGCATGCCCTAAGTGTCTCTCGCCACATCTGAGGTACAGACTCTGGTCCCAGGGGCCCCAGAGGCAGCTGGCACTGGACTTGACCCAGAATCTCAAGGCGTGGTCCTGACCCTTGGGTGCCCGGCTCCCGCCCTGAGTTGCCTCCCATGGGAGCTGCTCCCGGTGTCAGGGTGGGGTGGATGGGGGATTCTGCCAGGACCAGGTGGCGGCTGAGTGTGTGAGCCAGAGACCTGGCTGTGCCCAGATTTCTGCAGGCTCCCTTCCTCCTGAAAATTGTCAGAGTCTCGAGGTGTTGTCCTGATGCCAGGCAGCTTTTCACTGGTGCAGGAAGTCCATTCAGCCCTGCATTGCTTTTAATGAGTTTTGCAAGCAAGTGGCCTCTTCCGGTGACTCATTCTGCCTTTT